AGTAGACAGCTGTGGAAGGAAAGCTTTGCAGTGGCCATCATGTGTTCTTCCTTCCCTTGGTTTACTTCCTTGGGAGAAAGGCAGCGTAAAAGGGTTCAAGGCAAGCCTGAAGAATACTGTACTACTGTACTAATTTCAATCATAAAAGTAAAATGCTGAAACCACTAGTATGGGTGTGTGGCAGAGGTGGTATTCAGCAGGTTCTGGCCAGTTCTGGAGAACCGGTAGCAGAAATTTTGAGTAGTTCGCAGAATCGGAAAATAGTATATGACTGTAGATTTTACAGTATCCTTCCCCTGCCACGCCCACCAAGCCACACCCACAGAACTGGTAGTAAAAAAAAATTGAATCCCACCACTGGTGGGTGTGTTTAGAGGAAGTTTTGTGTTGTGGGGGAAAGTAGAAAGGAAGCATTTGCAGCCGAGGGAATGGAGCAACCATTAGCTCAACAATGAACTAATGGTGAAGGAAGAGTTGGCTTCTACAAAACTTCCCAGTTACTGGTATATAGAATACATGGACTACCTTTAATTTAGAAGGACAGATTGAGGTAGCAGGGCTAATACCATCCCTTCACAATTCTTTCAGTTGTTTTTAAAAACTTCCAGTTTTGCTGTTTTATATTTTTTGAGATTACAATTAATTATTAAGAGCACAACATTCTCCCAAAACCTGATTTCCAAGCCTAGTGAAATGGTTTCCATGCAACATTGTTTCCATGAATAATTGCAGAAATTAAAAACTGGTAAATAGTCACAAATAGGGATGGGATCTGACCGGTATAACTACCGGTTCTGTTGCTCTGCATTGCGCGTGCTTACGCGAGTTGCACGAGTGCAATTTACGACCTGCTGAGCTGCCCGGACAGCTGATCAGTGCTGCATGCAAGTGTGCAGCGGTTGAAAAAGCCCTTTTCCAGCTTTTTCAACCGCAGCTGTGTCGTGCAAAGTATCTGCGGTTAAAAAAGCAGGAAATAAAGGTCAGGTAAGAGCACAGGTGGGCCAAAACAGCAGCAGACATAGAACTGGTTCTATATATACTCTCGTTTTCTGTTTTTCAGAGCAACCGGTTCTATAGAAGTGGACAGAACCGGTAGAATCCCACCGCTGGTCACAAATGTCGCATAAGAAAAACATGAGCTAGTAAAGGTGATCCTATGTTGTAAGAATAATTTTGCCCTATATTGAGTCATTGAAATTCACAAGTTATGACATTTCTAAAATTTGTTTATATTTGTAGAAGTATAAAAATGTCATTATTACCTGTGTCAGAGTACATGTGTACAATGAGATTGGCTGAGCCTCCCTTTGTGCAACCCCCCCACAACTCACAGTGAGGACAGAAGTCCCTAACCCAGGCCCAATCTTATTACCCTATGTAACCTTGTTGCACAACATGCAAGTCTATCATACTATGTTAACATGAAGTTATTTTCCTTTCAGAAGTCTGACAACCCACAGGTAGAAACTGTTCTTCAGCCTGTTGGTGCAGCTGGCTATGCTTCTGTATCTCCTACTGAATGGTAGGAGAGTGAAGAAGTGCTGACCGGGGTGTAAGTCGTCTCTGACAATTTTCCTTATTCTTTTAAGGCAGCGAGCCCTAACGATGTAATCTAGTGGTACCAGGGAACAGCCCACGATATTTGTGCTGTGCTTACCACCCTCTGTGATATCTTTCTATTGGCAGCTGTTAAGCCAGCATACCATACTGTAATGCAATATGAGAGGACGGTTTTTATTGTGGACCGGTAAAAGGAGGTAATCAATCATTGTTCTACTTTATTATTTTGCAAAAGCCTAATGAAATGGAGTCTCTGTTGGGGTTTCTGGCCACCTGGGTTGTGTTGATTTTCCAAGTACGATTTTCACTGAAATAGACTCCCAGGTATTTAAAGGAGGAAGCTCCCTCCACACAGCCCCCTTCGATGTTAATGGAGTGTGTTACCTTATGAACTAATTTAAAAAAAAACCTTAATAGACAATCAAGACAATGCCTTAAATGATAACCATTGCAGAGAGGGATTTTGGCATGGATAACAAAATGTTAATTTGTTAAAGGACTGTGTCAATCCTACGTAGGCTCTCACAGTTTGCTGACGACATCAGCTCGAGATGTGGCATAAACATGTTCACCAGTAATGGTAATGCTTGGTAATGCTTTGTGTATCACACAAAGTAGTCCTATAAGACAACATGCTATTATTATTGATGCCAATTTTTTTAAAAAAATATGTATCCCTGTAAAACAAATATGGTTGCTAAATATATTGTGGTCTGTTGTTTATGAGGAGACAAATTTTGCATAGACAGATCTTGAATGAACTCAAAATATCTCTTTACATCCTAGCAAAGGACAAACAGCTCAACTGGTCTTTAGGATAGTAGCTAAAAACTATGAAAAACTATTTTTCAAATATACATCTGTACATTCTGAGGTCATACGTGTATGAGGAAATGATATAGTAAAACCTGGTTGATGCACGATAGAAAACGAAGAGAAGTCATTTTGTTAACATTAATTTTTATAAAATACCTTACAAGAACAATATAGTAACTTCAGGTTACATAATATTCAGAATTGAAAAAAAAGGCTGAACAAAATATAAATTGATCACATCACTATTTTACCACATTAACAAGTTTATAAAAAGTATTTTTCTTTCAGATAAAATAGTTATTTAGAAGAAAAATCTTCAAAATAAAAACTATTGAAGTCCTTTCAAGAAATCAGTTTGAGAAGCATTACGGTTCAGGTCAAAAGGCTGTGCCTGATTTAGAACTCACTTGTCTGCTTCCAAATGTATCAGTTTTAAGACACAAATTAAAACATTTACCAGGTCAGTGCAAAGTAAAGCTTCAAGCTGGAAACAGGAGAAACAGAACAATGTTTCTGGTCCAAAATGAATTCACATTATGAAAAGTCATTAGGTTATGTGCTCGGGATAGAAGGAAACTGACATTAGAGTACTATAGAAAGAATGTTAAAACAGAGGCTTGTTATTTAGATGCTAAGTGTCTATTTATAATGTGGTATATCATTAACATTACTAGTATATATCACTAATAATGTTAATATATACCACATTAAATATATATCTGTTTAAACTATTTAAAATAGTTTAGCTGTAAAGCAAGGATGCATAAACTGCCCTGCCTTCCCCTCAATACTTACATATGTGAGCCCAAAGTCATTCCTGAACTGTCGTCTAATTGTAGATTTTTAAAAAAGAAATCAGAAAAAGAAAATATTAAATATGTGGCAAGTAATCATTGGTTTCACTTAAATCAATTTCCATCTTCTATAGAAACTCCTTCAAAGCCAGCAGCCTGATGATCACCCCTCCACCTGAACAACACTTTGAATACAGCTAAAGAATGTAAAATAAAGGTTAAAGTATGATAACATTATTTAAGTTTTTGAATGACTCTCCATTGCAGAAACATGGTCATACTTCCAGCCTAGAAAGCAGCTTATGGATAGACTCTAAAACTGATTAATTTAGGAAGAGGTCATATAGCACAATATGATTGCTTAAATATGTTTGTATACTTGTAAGTATGTGCCCTTTATCTCTGGAAACACAGAAATCTTGTAAAGATAATTTGCTATTTATTCTTCTGGCTACTAACATGTGTACATTAAGCAATTTATAAAAGAATGTTTATAGTTTGTTAAATTTATATCCTGCTTTCCTTGAGGAACCAATTACATCATACACAGCACTCTCAAAAAATGTGAGGCTGAACTAACATTGACCAATCCCAAACTATCCAGTGAGTTTCCTTGGCTGAGGATGGACTTGAATCTGGCCCAAGTCTTAGTTCATCACAATTATATTACATTGGCTTTCTATTCCTTTTGACCCTCTTCAAAAGCTGCACTTGAGAATAAATAGATGACTTCTGTAATGGTGAAGAAATATGTAGGAATATTGTTCACTGGGACATGATAACCCTCTTTATTTTGTTAGATGAATCCTGTATATGTTGGCACAAACCGATATAATTTTAAACATTCATAGGAATTTTTAAAAAATATACTGGCCATGATCTTCTGATTACCCTAAACTATTATAATTAAAACCATGCACAGGGATGTATGTGCCAACACACACATATACAATCCATTGTTCTCAACCACAACTGGGAAATTTTATTCTAAGAAAAATTATATTGTAGGTGAATTACATCCTTTAATTTAGCAGCATATTAGCTTTTTAATATATACTTACACTGGAAGTATTAGAAATCATTTTTTATTTTTTTGACTTCAAGGTAACAAGACTCTGTCTACCCTTTTAAATACATTTTGATTTAAATGTAGTCATATTTCATGTTTATTTTTCACAGGGAATAGAAGGGATTGATGTGTCAGTGAAAATTCTATTTTTAAACTATCACTATAAGTGATGTCAATTCTATAGTTCTATTAGTACATATTTATAATTTTCCAATGACCAAGGATAAAAGATGTAATACTGGCATTACAGAATGCAGGCATACCTGGCTTCTTATATTACTTGCAAATTCTACTAAACCAAGTCCGATCTTTGTGAAATGTTTACTACCACTTTGGCCTCATCGGCTGAAATATTACCAAAACATATCATATTCTAAATGTTTTATCTTCCTCCAATTATATGGGATAGAGAAGACTGGAGGGTCAACCTACTCATTTAAGTGTCTCCTCTTATATTATGTAACATATTAACTTAAACAGGTCAGTGATGGTGAACCATGTCGAAGTGTAATATAAATGCCAATTGATTTAAGAGAAGATAGGGAAAATAGCCATTTCAAGGTTAACTGTTTCAAATCAACAATTTCTATTAAGTTTTTTAAAAATAGGAATTGGATCTAACTAAGATGTGGACTTCAATTCCTAGAAATCCCCACACAGCATGCTGAAGTCCACACATCTTAAAGATGACAAGGTTGAGAAACACTGATCTAGGGCAAAATGAAATTCATTGAAGAACTTGATTTGGCTTGTGCTTTAAAAAATTACCAGCCACTCATGGCAAAAAGTTATGTTCAAGAATACAGACACAACACAATAAGTTGAACTGAAGACTGAATGAACATTTAAGGTATAATGTAACTTAATTAAAATCCTTGTAAAATTGGTAGATATAGAATTCAGTGACAGCATAGAAAATTTAAAGAGTTCTTAAAATGATCCTGTCCTCAAAACTGTGATGAAATAATTATCTACACAGGAAATTAATCAAATATTTATTTCCATAAGACAATAATTTACCTGGCCACTGATAATAAAATTCACTCTGATGGATTTCATATATCTGCCAATATTAAGGCACGCACAGCCTTTTATTAAGCTTGCCAAGGAACAAAAGTCTAATTTCAATCCCATAATTTTTGGATTTTGAATAACTATATCAAAAAAGGATTTATGTTTTCAGGTCATTATCATGCAATACTGTATATTTTAATTTTTTAAGTTAACCATACTGATCTTGAAGCTTAACAACCACAAAGAAAAACTACTGGTTTGTTGCTGGTCAAAATCTCTTTTAAAATAGACCAGTAACAAAGTAATGTATTACACATTCATATTTTTTTTACTTTGTGTAAATAGCAATGGTCTATCAGAAAAATAAAATCAGTAGTGAAGGCCTCATTTTTCTTGCATTTTATTTGAGCAGAAATGCAAAAAGCATTTAAAGCTCCTTGAAAAATAAAAATGGAGAGTGCACTTATATGTATATAAAAAGTAACTGACTTAGTAAATGGGGCAAATCAGTATAAAGACAACTGGAAATGCCTCACAGTAGAAAATATGAACAAGAACAAAGGAGGACTATCAGCTTTAAAATTGTCATTTACCATTTTGTAAACATGAAAAAAGCATTTCACAGATTAAAAGTTCATGGGAAGTAAACATCTTTAAATTATTTGTCAGTTCAACCCTGATTCAAAAATATGGCTAGCAAAAATACAGATTTAATTCACTTATATCTTGAAGTGAGCAGCTGATCTTATTCTGAAAAATTGTTCCAACTCATTCTTTGAAGATACATCCAGGGAAAAAAAATCTCACTTGAATCCCATCTCACTCTGGACAATATTTCTCATGTTTACACACCCACCCACACACCCACGGAGAATTAGGCTAGCTGCAAGATTTTCCATACTATAGATTGAGTCGTGGAGAAACTGATGAAGGAAAGCAAGCAAATTCTCTTAGAATGCTCCGTGCTACATCAAGATTATTCTGGGCTATTTCAAGGGCCCTCTTCACTTCTTCAAAAGAATAACCTTCTCCCATAAGTTTTGCGATCTTTGCATCAACATTTTCTATAGATGTCTTATGTGCCTTCCTATGGTGTATTTCTGGAGCAGTCCTACGAGGAAGTGGTTTTGGAGGTCTGGCTGGTGCTTGTGAACAATCTACATAAAAAGAAAAGAAAAAAGAATGGTAATTTTTTATGGAGAAAAAAAGATATTCCTGGCTAATTCAAAGTCATTGATTCTCGTCTATTATCTCACTATCAAAGATAATTTCTGAATTTGAACCGGACTGTGGATTTATTCGCATTTAATCTTTTCAAAGATTGATGCAAAAGAATTATTATTTGTTTGGTTTGGTTTAAGAACAACCCCTACTTGTTGATCAGCCTTCCATCCTTCCAAGGTGGGTAAATTGTTAGGGACAATATGCTGACTCGGTAAACCACTTAAAAAGAGTTGTAAAGCATTGTGAAGCATTATATAAGTCTAAGTGCTATTGCTACTAGATGTTACCAAACTATACAAGAAAGATAAAAATAAAACTACTTCATCTTAACTTTAATTAATTTTCTCGAATATTTTCTATGAATGGGAATTGGAATTTGTGAAAATCAGGGACGGAATTTTAAAGCATAATTTAATAAATACAAATGAAAATAAATTATCTCAGAAAAACAGGTACTCCTTGATTTATGACCACAACTGAGCTCAAAATTTCTCTTGCTAAGTGAGACATTTGTTAAGTAAGTTTTGCCCCATTTTTTGACCTTTCTTGCCATATTTGTTAAGTGAATCATTGCATTTATTAAGTTAGTTACACATTTGTTAAGTAAATCTGGCTTCCCCATTGACTTTGCTTGTCAAAAGGTTGCAAAAAGTGAACACATCACCCCAGGACACTGCAGCCACCATCATAAATATGAAGCAGTTGCTAAGTGTCTGAATTTTGATCACGTGATCATGGGGATGCTACATGATCATAAGTGTGAAAAACAGTCATAAATCACTTTTTTTAGTGTTGTTGCAACTTTGAACAGTCACTAAATGTACTGTTGAACAGTTACTAAATGCACTGTTGTAAATCAAGGACTACCTGTAATTACATATCAGATGACCTTCCATTCTTAAGGTTTTTGATTCAATGCATTCCAATAAATTAATTACAACGAAAGACAGTAAGAATTTTTATCAGCTTTCTTTCTCCTTCAAGAGTATTTGTTCTCAGCTCCCCAAACATGAGAAGTTCTCTGAAGTTAACTCAATGATTCCTTTATTAGGAGTGCCAGCAACCCTAGCAAAAAGTTTCTCTGCCACATGCCTGCCACATCTAATCATCTCTGCCCCCTGCCTTTTATCACCAGAGCTACAGTGAGGCTTCGCTAGCAGTGGTGGCTCTTCCTTCCCATGGATCGACCCACGGATTTCCACTGCTCTCCTCTCCTCTGCCTTCTGTATATCCACACATCAGGAACTGGACCCAGCTGTTCCTCCTCTTCCTCATCAGCCACTTCCAGACCTGGGAGCTGTTGACTCTTCATCTGAAGGCTGATGGGACGGCCCAGGCTCCACCTCTGTCTGTCTGTCTCTCTCTGCCAGCTCCATTCCCTCTTCTCCCTCAGAGCTCTCAGGTTGCCTTGATGCTGACCCTGACTACCACTCTGCCTCATCAGATTCGGCTGCTGGAGGGGCCAGTGGCCAATAGGCCACAACACTTTTTTTAATGCTAATGTCACTCTCTCAGCTCTGGGGTTCTGTGCTCTATACAATCTTCATCATATGATTAGTATTATTATTTATGCTGTTGCGTTATATCTTAATCATACATATGAATTGGATTATTTAATTATTATCAGCTGTGGTTGCAGTAATAATACCTATGAAATTGATTTTAAAAAATCTTTATTCCATCAAATGGCTACACCAATTCTGATCATAAAATGAGCTGAAATAAATATAACACATCCTTTATTTTTATTCAAGAATATAAGTATTGTTCACAATATTTTATTTGATTTGGGTGAAAAAACATGAATAAATTATCCATGAACTATAGAATCTAACTCTATTTGAAAAAAATATTTTCAGCTAATACACAAATTTCAAATTAATTTGGCTTCAATGTAAATGATTGATAGAAACAATTCTGCATTATAATACATGCAATGTGACTAAGGGGATGGATATTTAGAAATTTGTATTTTTAATAGATATCTTAATATGTGAATATCCTTATAATTAAAAAAAATTGTTTGAAATTGTCAGCAATGAGAATTTTCCAGTAGCAACATTAATTCACTTACTAGTATCCAAAGTCCCACAATTAATAGATGAGAATTATATATAATACATGGCAAATTATAGATAGTAAACAATGAGGAGTTCTTGGTGCTTCCTGAGCTTAGTTATTTGCCATATATTCAACCCTGAGCTATATATATTATCTTCTATTGGAATAAATGATGCATGTAACTTATGCATAGCTATATCAAGTATACCAACATCTACATTAAAAACATCCAAATGATTTAACTTGTACAAAATGCATATGGGAACATATTACATAAAACTGATGAAATTGAATTTTGGAAAAGATCTGTATTACTACTAATTGCATTACTATGCACACTAAAGCAATATATTATAAGAGTTTGAAAATATTTTTTCCACTCCTATTATTAGATAAGAACTTCAAATCCATGGGGCAGAGTTTATTATAAAGGAAGATATGTTGAAGTTAAATTTAAATTCATACACTTAGTAAGCATAGGTACACAAGAAGATTATACTGTACCAACAAATGCACTGGGGATTACCTGTTGTCTTTTAAAAAAAACAGTTCTTTTTTTAAAAAACAGTTACCACAGCTTGAAAGACTTTCTGCCTACAGCTATCTAATAGTGTTACTCAATCAAACAATGTAATTTAATTTTGTTTATTGGCAACAAACATAACAACAACGAACACACACACCCAATCTTGGAGGATATGACTTGGTCCAAATAATACCTCTTATAGACTCCAGTTGGAGCAGAAAAGCTAAAATTAAGATTGCTTCTTCAGAACTTGAGATGCATTTGGTTCAACAGACATTCATATATCCACATAATCTGAATATGACATAATCTGAACATAGGAATTTTCTGTTCACATTTTACCTGGAATTTTTAGAAATCTAAATTTTAAAAGTATAAATCCAGCTTTGTTTCCCTCCTTTTTTTTAACAGTGCGTAATGAGATAGATCAGGATATCTGAGGGTTTAAACATGATGTGGGATCTATTGGATATTCCCTAATTCACTCAATTCTGTATTCTGAAGCAGCTTGTCATCAGAGTTTATTATCACCTTCCCCAGAAAAGTATATTGAAATCTCAAAGACTATTGTAGTAATTTGCAGATCACTTCAAGAGCAAAATTGCTGGAATTCTACTTCTGACATACTTTACTCAAGTGTTCAGTCTAATGGTTAAAATATATCAATGCTCAGATGGCAGACAAGACACTTTATTTACATAGCCTTATACTTGGGGATTTCAAGCAAATTATAACTGTACCTTTCCACCACAAATCTTAAAGGAGATAGTAATCTATTATTGAAAAGTTCTCCCTAGGGCCCTAAAGTTACACCAAGTACCACCCAGTTACAAGCACCTCTTTGTTACTAGAAACATAGATCACCGGTGTATTTTGAGTCATCAAGTCCAACTATGAAATCATCAAGAATACAATTTAAAACATCCAATAAAAATGAGTTGTCCAGCCTTTGTGTGAGCAACCTGCTTATTAATGTAGCAACTGGCTAGCTGCAGATATTTTCAAATGACATGATTTTAACTCTTTCCTGGGCTTAGGCCTGGATTTGCAAATTAGCATATCAGATCCTTTCCTATGGGACAGAGATAAATACAGTGCAATTCTATTGATGTTTGATGTCCATGTAGCTTAATACTGTCAACCAAAGTATTTCCTTGGCTTATCTCTGCAAGTTGAAGGTGCCGTATTACAATGTTTGCACAGAGTTGAGTAACTACCTCTCTCTCCTGGCAACAATACTGTGAGGTACCTCAAGATATTATTTTGTCCTGTGATACATAATATCCATAAAAAATTGCTTGGGGAGGTTATCTGGAGTTTGAGGTTAAAGATCAGTAATTGGGTAATAAAATTCTCTGTAATTTCTGCCTTAGGAGAGGTTCTAAAGCAGGACAATCTTCAAAATCAGGACACAGCAATGGGGTAGATAACAACCAGTAAACAGAGACTTTATCTTGATAACATTTTATAATGGGTGGTTTTCACATTAGAATTTCAGAAATTTGCTTGCTCTAAAATGTTGCTCCTAAAGACATTATTGCCATTGGAACCTAAGTGACATATTTCTAGTTTTGGTAAGTGTACTAATTATATCTTTACACGGATGGGAACAGTTTAGCTGTACCTGTTGAGGAAAGGAAAACTGTGTTTAGATTACTGTAATAATAGAATCACAGAGTTGGAAGGGACCTTGGAGGTCTTTAAGTCGAACCCCCTGCTTAGGCAGGAAACTCTATAACATTTCAGACAGATGGTTGTCCAAACTCTTCTTTAAAACTTCCAGTGTTGGAACATTTACAACTTCTGGAGGCAAGTGGTTCCACTGATTAATTGTTCTGTCAGGAAAGTTTTCCTTAGTTCCAAGTTGCTTCTCTCCTTGATTAGTTTCCACCCATTGCTTCTTGTCCTGCCTTCAGGTGCTTTGGAGAATAGATGGATCCCCTCTTCTTTTGGCAACCTCTGAGATATTGGAACACTGCTATCATGTCAGCCCTAGTCATTCTTTTCATTAAACTAGATATACCCAATTCCAGCAACTGTTCTTTATATGTGTTAGCCTCCAGTCCCCTAATCATCTTTGTTGCTCTTATATCTGCTACAAGGGCAGCTTTGTGCTTGATCTGAAAAGAGAAGTGCATACAAAATGTGGCATAGCAGGTCAGTATGGCTCATGATCATGCACTTGAACTTCTGCTTGTTTCAAATTGAGTATTATGCAGGTTGAAGATTCTGCTCTTTACATATAAGATTCTAAATAATGTGGCACTAGGATACCTAACAGATCAATTATGCTGTTACAGACCTGGTTGATTGATAAGATCATCAGAGGAGGTTCTGCTGTGTGAGCCGAGACTGACTGATTCTCATCTTGCGGTTACTCGCAGACAAGCCTTTTCTGTAATGATGCCTGTACCCTGGAATGCTCGGCCACCTGAAATTCATGAGGTACCTACTGTTATATCTTTCAGGTACCTTGTGCTAGGATTTCCTTCTATCAAAACTGATGGACAGTTTTGGTTTTGCTTAACATATCCCTATTTTTGTTATTTATTTATAATCCTTTTGATTGTAAACAAGTCCAGTATCTGACTGTATGAGAAGCACTATAGAAACATTAACAATGCATCTTGAGCGTGCATATTTCAGCACATTTAATTATGGATTTTTTTTCTGGTGATGACTGTGATGTTTTCTTCTCTTTTTTTGCTAATAGTGAATATGTAGATTCTAACACCACATAGCAATTTTGTTTATTATAAACCACCATAATCAAGACTGACTTCCCAGTAGTTTACAAAACAAAAACATAGAATAAAAGCAGGAATGAAAACGGCAGCACATAACCCTGATGTGAAAACCCCAGGACAACAGTAAAGCTCTTTGGAAGTGATAGGGAAAAGCTCTAATTTCACTATCTTGCAAACAGATTAAAGGGTTAATCTAAACTGAAGCTCTAGAAAGGGAGGCTGATATCCTAAATCACATATTCTCCATTTTCAATTTTAATATACTTTCTGAGAGATTTAATCTGAAAGACTAAAGTAACAAATTCATCTTTTTGAAAAATTATGCAGAATATAAACAGTTCTGTAATTTTATTCCTGTATATTGGATTTTAATTACCTGAAGAAGATGGCAGTTGGTCATAATCCTGAGATATTCTATGGGCCTTTATATTTTCAATGGTTAATCTTCTAACAGGTGGTAAAGGAACTGAGCCATTTGTAGGATCAAAAAAAAGATCTGTGAAAGGAAAAATAAAGATCATTTTGTGTATTTCTGTTCATAGGACATAAATTGACAAAAAATAATTCAGTTAAAAAATACACAAAAGACAAATGATGTAATATGTTAAATTTTAATTCAATTGACTTGAATTGTCAGGTCCCCTTCATGAAAAGGACTCCCTTCCAAAAAGAAAACTTCATTTTCTTTTTAATGCTTTATTTTGCTAATCATAAAAATTGTGGCTAATTTTAACCAACTATTGAAATATGTCATAAAGAATTCAAAGAAAACTTGAAGTATATGCACTCTAGAAGTCGTAAACATCTAGTTGTCCGGAAATCTATCACTCGTTTGTGGTGGAACACCACACTGTCTGCTACTGCTTTGCTGCAATTGTATTTTATAATCTTTTAACGTACAGTAGATTTACTGTAGATCCACCCATCCAACAAAGATTCTCAGCTTTCTTGTGGCCTCTGAAAGGAATTAGATAATGTGCGGCATATCTTCCTCTCAGTGGGGAAAAAAAACACTACCCTAGGTGAAGATACCTTTCATGAAGAGTGCTTCAAACCAAACAATACTGACAAAGCATTAGTAAACACACGTATGCTCTACTTACTGTCTTTCATCAATGGAGAAGAGTTATATTTAATAGATAAAAATAAATAAAAGCAATTAACTTTTTACAATAATGATTGGAACCTTTCCGTTGGAACTTTAATAGCTGTTTCAAAAGGAAATAATATGAGAATAAATTATTGTGCAAGATAGGACTTTAGAACATTTCCAGACCAAGTGCTGCACTTCATTTTCAATGGCATGCTGGGAGCTTCATTTCCTAAACTAATGACTAGAGTCAGGGCAATGACTAAATTTGATTTTGCTTGATTTAGTTTTGCATTTAGTTAATATTAAATACAGTTACTCTCTAATCATGTTTTTAATTTTTCTCTCATGTCTCTTTATCATTAGAGAATCTTTAAAAGCCTCTGAGGACCAGCCCTAAATACTTTTTAAAGCCTCATGTAAAAATTAGAGAAGCAAGTATTAGCAATATTCAATGAGAGAAGCATTAAAAAATTAAGACGGCAATAACATTTATAAAATGTATAAATTATGCAAAATTAGACTGTGCTAATACTACCATTTTATAAATTGTATCTCCATCAGCAATGCAGAGCCAATAGCTCTAACAGTTATAGATCCTATTCTATACTGGAGACAGTTAGGGTCTTCCTCACAAGGAGCAGCTGTCTGGGACATTTGTGGGTGATCTCAATTCTTCTCCTTGCCTGGCCAGCTCTTCATTCCTCTGTGGTTGTCAGCTCTGGTTTTTGCAGAGTTGTCTTTAATCTTCCATGTCTTCTCATATGACAAAATTCCACACATAAACTATTTCTTAATTTGCAGACCACTATACCATTAATAGTATATATTTCAGAAATGTAGGAAATTAACTTATTTTTCTACATAATCTCATAACTTCCATTTTATAGTGTACTCCTCCAAATGCATGGTTAGATCTCTGCCGACAAGTAGTTAAATATTTGAGAACATTTTTTATAACTAACTCTCTACAATAAAATAAAATAATTATCACCATCACCATTTCTTACCAGTGGGAGGGTGGTACAGTTCATGTCCAGACAGGGGTCTATTTCCTGCAACAAGTGGTCTTGTTTGCTCAATGAAGCTATGGCGTGCAGGAGGTGGTGGAGGTGGAGGAAGGGAAGGTGGTGGATTGTCGGACAAATCTTCACCTGCATTGACAGAGAAATAATATAACTCCACTATCAGATTGTTTTCCGAAAGTTGATCTAGCAGTACAATGATTTTAATATAGGTCATAAAACTATTCAGGCTCTTCCATAGCTAACCCAAGATACAGCCCACATTCTGGTAACACCCCAATATCAGTAGAGGTCTTTGAAGCCATTATACAAAATAAAAGTAAAGTTTCTGCTAGAGAAATTGCTCACCGTTTTAGGTTGCTAGAAATAAATCATTGAAACATATTATGTAATATTCTAGCCTTTCTCTCCAAAATTAAAATTAAAGAGAGTTTGTTGACTTGCTTGACAAATAACAGCCAGGCAAATCAAGATAATTTGAGAAAACATGTCTTGATGAAACTGTTAATCTAGTTTTTTCTTAAATTAAATCTTCCCCTCTCCCAGTTTAGGAATATACATTAAAACAGAACATTTTCTATAGTATTATAAATTATGCTTATATTTATGATAATTTGAGATGGAATTTAATTCATTTTGATTTTGAATAAAATGTTCACATCAAGCTAAATTTACATGTGGGAGACAAATACACAAAACTGCATACTCTTAATCTAATACGACTAAATATTAATGCATCAAATATATTATCATTTGCAGAAAAATGTATTATAATTTTGAACTGACTGTAGAATACTGGTAGTCCTCAAATTATGATGACAATTGAGCTCAAACTTTTTGCTACTAAGTGAATATTTGTTAAATAAGTTTGCTCCATTTTACGACCTTTCTTGCCACAGTTAAATGAATTATTGTAATTGTTAAATTAGTCAAATTGTTGTTAAATGAATCTGGTTTCCAACCATCATAAATATGAGTCAATTGCCAAGTGTCTGAATGACCATGGGAATGCTACTACAGTTGTTAAGTGTGAAAACTGGTCATAAGTCACTTTTTTCAGTGCTGTCACTAAACACTGTTGTAAGTTGAGGACTACCTGTACATTCATAAAAATCAATGGGGCATCATTTATTCGATACTTAGTGCAGGGTCTTAGATTTAGTCTACATATAGCTGTGTTTGAAAGATTTATAAGAAGCTTGCTATATTGGAAGAAAAAGTGAATATATAACCTGGAGGATGCACAAGCAAGTCATAATCAGAGGACGTTCTATTGAGTACAGATGCATGTTTCAAATTTTCCCTCAGTGGAGGTCGCAGAGGCGGCAAAGGTATTGGAATAGTAGAATCAAAGGCTTCTCCTAAGTACCAAACATTTAAAGTACCTTAATTTTTAAAGTTTCAAAAACAGCATGTTAATTTTTCCCTTCTAAACATGCACTACTCATACCTATATCAGGTTGTTTCAATTTTTTCATCTCAGATGAAGTATTGTGCATTTCACTACTTATTCCAGAGCACTGACCATTTTCAAATACACTGAAAGCAAACATAAAGCCTGTAGTTTTAATCACATAGAAATTACATGAAATTAGATGCAAAAATGAAATGCAAAATGAAGATACTTAAAATAGTAGTAGAAAAATTTAACTTCAGACATCAACTCTTCCCCTCTGCCCCCATTTTTAATCACTATCATATATCTTAATTTTTAATAAAAGACAGCATCATCATGTTCTAGCACCAATTGCGCATGAACTCAATAGAGGCAGATCAGAACTCAAGCCAAATAGAGTTTGATGAAATGACTGACAATTATAATTTATTTCATGTTCCTATAAAGGGAAATACATATATGAATTCTTAATTAAATTGAGGGGGGGCAGGGGAGAGAGGGGGATGTATTTAATTTCTATAACTGCCCATCTCAACATGTGACTTTGAAAACAATTAAAACAGTACAAAATAAATATATGAGACCAAGCAAAATTTATTATATATATTAATACAGTTTGGACACAGGGCCCTTAACACATTCAAGGCCCCAAGCCTGGGCATAAAACCAAGTCTATGTGGCCTTGCAAAAGGGCAATAGGGTCAGGATCATCCTGGTATCTGACAGGACATATTCCAAAGGGCAGGAGCTACAGCAGAGAAGGGTTGATTTCCTGATTTCCGCCAGCCAACATTCTTGAGGGGATCTGCAGCATGCCCAATCTGCCTGACCGAATTGGACAGATAGAAACAACTGGGAGAAGACCACCCCTTAGTAATCCGATTGCAGATCAAGCAATAACCAGCTCCTTGAATTGCACCCAAAACCATGCTGGAATACTGGTAACTCACAAAGCAGTGATGTTACATATATCAAATACCCATTTTACTATGTGTGTAGCTACATTTTGTATCAATTGAAGCTTCTGAGTGCTTTTTAAGGGCAGTCCCATGGAGAAGACATTGCAGTAGTTCAGAAAAGAGGTCACAATGCATGAGTAACTGTCAGCAAAGCCTCCCTATCCAGAAATGGGTACAACCAGAGTCATCTTACAGGAGAGATGGGTGGCATAAAATTTAATCTATATATCAATCAACTGGCATACTACCCTATGTAGTGCAAAGGCCCTTCTAGCCACCTCTAGCAGCTGATCTTCTAGCAGGAACTCTGATTCAAAGAGGACACCCAGATTGTGCACTGGATCCATCTGGGCAGTGCCACTCTATCCAGAACTAGTGGTGGAAAACCCTTATCATCACAAGGCCCAAATATGCAGACACTTTCTTGGGTTGAGTTGAAAACCAATGCATCCCACTGAGATTCTTACAGCCTCTAGGCACTGACATAGGACAGCTAGTCTAGGGTGGAGATACAAAGCTGGGTAGCATCAGCATATTGATGGTACCTTATCCCAGACTGTTGGATCTCCTCACCCAGTGGCCTCATCTGAAGGTTAAATAGGACAGAACAAAGAATTGAGCCCTGGGATATCCCACAAAGTTGGGGCCATAGGTTGGAACTCTACCCTCATCAACACCAACTGGAATGGGCCCTGGAGAAAAAAGGAGAAGCAAAGCAATACAATGTTACTCACCCCCAATTCCCAAAGATGGTCCAGAAAGAACCATGATCAATGGAATCGAAGGCCACTAAGAAATCAAAAAGAACAAGGACGGTTGCACTATTCCCAGCTCACTACTGGCAGAGGTCATCTAAGAGCACAGTCAATGCTGTCTCAGTCCTGTACCCAGTCTTAACTTCTGACTGAAAAGTGTCCAGATAATCTGCTTCATCCAGGGTTCTCTGCAGCTGCTACACAACCACCTTATTTACAAACTTTCCTTAAAAAAGGGAAGGTTGGAGACTGGACAAAAGCCAGACTGGTTGGGTCAGGAGATGACTCCTTCAGGACAGAGTGCACTAATGCCTCCTTAAGAGCTGATGGAATCACCTCCACCCTAAAGGAGTTATTAATTACAGCCCAGACCCAATCATGTTTATTTTTTGTGTCTGTGCATGTGTGTACTTGCTGAAATATATGTTAAAAGCTGTGAATTATATTCTGAGGATGTATGTCTATTTCTTGTGTGGAAATTTAGCAGTGAGGTGCTGAAACCTGGTATCAAAATATGTTAAATTCTGTGTAAAGATGTAATCTTAAAAGTAACATTATGATTAACATCAATAAAATATAAAACTAAATTGAATGTCATGTAAAATGATTCTCTACCATCATCTTTAAATAACCTTACCGAATATGGGACTTCATATTATGGCAATGAAGTGATTGTGAAGGCAAAGAAACAGGATGGGATGAAGGAATCTTGTACTCATCTTCTACATGTTCTCTTGATTTTTCAGAAAAGGAATTTATAACAGCAACAGAAGACCTCAAGAGAAAAGTACACCAGATCCAGATGAGTTTTTGTTGGTACAGAAAATAAATATATCAATCACTGCATTTACAAATGGATTTAATTACATTTTTTTCTATTTTATTGCCACAACAAAGCCAAAAATAGAGTAGGTATGTGTATTTAATGAGACACAAATGTGTTCCACTTCCTTATGGAGGTTGTGCACTTTGCTCTCTTCTCTCTTTTTCCACAAGCCAAGGAGACACACAGAAATTTCCAGCTTTGATTAACTGCAGCTTTCTTTGCAAAACAAATTCAGATGTCTCAATAGAGAGAGACACAAAGCAAAACTTAAGAATTTTAAGCCATACTATGTTATTTTTTTAAAAAACTAGAAGAACTGAATATAAAATTAAGAAATTATAGTTGTATTTTCTTTAAATAAAATTTGAAATGTTGAACATGTCAAAAAACAATTGTTCCATGGAAATAATTCAACAAATTAACAACTCATTGATAATTTATAATGCAAATTATCACTAAAAGATACACTGCTCAAAAAAATAAAGGGAACACTTAAACAACACAATGTAACTCCAAGTCAATCATACTTTTGTGAAATCAAACTGTCCACTTAGGTAGCAACATTGATTGACAATCAATTTCACATGCTGTTGTGCAAATGGAATAGACAACAGGTGGAAAGCATAGGCAGTCAGCAAGACATCCCCAGTAAAGGAGTGGTTCTGCAGGTGGTGACCACAGACCACTTCTCAGTTCCTATGCTTTCTGGCTGATGGTTTGGTCACTTTTGAATGCTGGCGGTGCTTTCACTCTAGTGGTAGCATGAGATAGAGTCTACAACCCACACAAGTGGCTCAGGTAGTGCAGCGCATCCAGGATGGCACATCAATGCGAGCTGTGGCAAGAAGGTTTCTGTCAGTGCAGTGTCCAGAGCATGGAGGTGCTACCAGGAGGCAGGCCAGTACATCAGGAGATGTGGAGGAGGCTGTAGGAGGGCAACAATCCAGCATCAGGACTGCTACCTCTGCCTTTGTGCAAGGAAGGACAGGAGGAGCACTGCCAGAGCCCTGCAAAATGACTTCCAGCAGGCCACAAATGTGCATGTGGCTGCTCGAACGGTCAGAAACAGATTCCATGAGGATGGTATGAGGGCCCGACGTCCACAGGTGAGGGTTGTGCTTACAGCCCAACACCGTGCAGGACATTTGGCATTTGCCAGAGAACACCAAGATTGGCAAATTCGCCACTGGCGCCCTGTGCTCTTCAGAGATAAAAGCAAGTTCACACTGAGCACATGTGACAGATGTGACAGGGTCTGGAGACGCTGTGGAGAACGTTCTGCTGCTTGCAACATCCTCCAGCATGACCGGTTTGGCAGTGGGTCAGTAATGGTGTCGGATGGCATTTCTTTAGGGGCCGCACAGCCCTCCATGTGCTCGCCAGAGGTAGCCTGAGTGCCATTAGGTACTGAGATGAGATCCTCAGCCCCTTGTGAGACCATATGCTGGTGCGGTTGGCCCTGGGTTCCTCCTAATGCACGACAATGCTAGACCTCATGTGCCTGGAGTGTGTCAGCAGTTCCTGCAAGACGAAGGCATTGATGCTATGGACTGGCCCGCCTGTTCCCCAGACCTGAATCCAATTGAGCACATCTGGGACATCCTGTCTCGCTCCATCCACCAATGCCACGTTGCACCACAGACTGTCCAGGAGTTGGGGGATGCTTTAGTCCAGGTGAGGGAGGAGATCCCTCAGGAGACCATCCGCCACCTCATCAGGAGCATGCCCACGCATTGTAGGGAGGTCATACAGGCATGTGGAGGCCACACACACTACTGAGCCTCATTTTGACTTGTTTTAAGGACATTACATCAAAGTTGGATCAGCCTGTAGTGTTTTTTTCCACTTTAATTTTGAGTGTAACTCCAAATCCAGACCTCCATGGGTTGCTAAATTGGATTTCCATTGATAATTTTTGTGTGATTTTGTTGTCAGCACATTCAACTATATAATAAACAAAGTATTTAATAAGAATATTTCATTCATTCAGATCTAGGATGTCTTATTTTTGTGTTCCCTTTATTTTTTTGAGCAGTGTATATCAAAATACAAGATGCTATGAATCTATTTCCATAAGCTCCAAAGACAACGGTGTTTCCCAACTCTGAAAGCTCAATCTCCAAAGATAATTTTAGAAAGTGTCATTAATTATGCACAGATGTTTTAAAAACAGGCATTTCAGACATTTAGATAGTATTATAGAACTCAAAAGATTCTGGTTATACTTGCAAATACCCTAAAGTGTAACATCTAAGTTATGGATTGTTAGTGTCCATTTCGGTTAGCTTTAGGACAATTAAACACCAAAACAATGGGGGAAAATACCCAATGTGATGCAAGGAACTAAAAGAGATAACTAGCTTCAAGCTATAATTTAGAGGGAGATTCATGAGAAAAGGAACATTTTTCCTTCCAAAACAGAGTTTAAAATGTTCGCTTTCACTATTATGCATTTTGTACTACGCAAACTGTGTTTCAAAGTTCAAGCTATATAAAATATAACAAAAAAGGAAGATGGCTTTTTAAATTAATTTCTTTAATAAAAAGTTTGTAACATTCAATGAAATGTAAGACTTATAAGATAAAATGCAAGAGTTTACTATGGTACTTTCTGTAAAGTCTACAAAATAAGACAAAACAAGCATATATTTTTTTATCAGTATCCCAAATGAGTATTTCATTTGCCAGCAGGAATGCTATATAAAACTACAGAAACTGAATTAATTGTATTAATGAAGATATATGTGATTCAAAATTATACTTGAACTGAAACTATTAATTTGACATCATTTCAGATATAACAGGCTCCTTTTCAACTATAAGAACCATACCAAATGACACCATTGATCTCAAATTCAATTGTCAAGCATAGTGTTTCTATGACATACTTTACACATCCGACATATCATCTTATGATTTATCTAATGAATAACTGGTAAGCCCTGGCAAGTTAGATTTACTCTAATAAGCTTGTATATTGGCAGCATCAAAATTGGATTTTGGAGTGCCTGCTTCAGCATAACTTTGTGAGTAAATGATACTATAGACATATGAGATACTATTTTTTATTATGTAACTTAATTGACCTATTGATTTGAATGTCTAAAGACTTTATTTTTTACAATGTGTTTTTGTATTAATGAAACAAAGAAAATGTTAAAAAGTTATGATATTTATGTAGTTACTTACCAAGGACATCTAAATTATATTAAAGTAACCAAAACATCTTTATAATATGGCCCAAGAAATGTCACAACTTTTGAGCCTCTAATGGTTAGAAATTGAAAGTTGAAAAATTTGACACAACCTAATATACAGTATATGTTCTTAGTTTACAACATATATTATTAGTTATTTTTTTCTTGTTTTGTAATTTTAGTTCAGCTTTATTCATTTCTATATTTTAAAACTTATTTTAAATCACCTGGGGTTGTATGAGATGTGCAGTATATAATAAATGAATGCTAAATAAATACATACATAAATTTATATTATTATATAAGTAGTGTTTATTTATAAATAGATTATTTATTATTTATAAATAAAAGATGATATGGGGCTCTCCTTGAAAAGTATCCAGAAGTTTCAATTGGTTCAAAATGTGGCAGTCCACATGGCTTTATGCAGGCCTAGATTTACATGTGTCATTTCTCCTGTGGCAACTGCATACTGATCCACTTCCAGGTCCAATTGAAGATGCTGGTTGTCACCTTTAAAGCAATACTTGGGACCAGGTTATTTGAATGACCATTTTTTTGCAATTACATTTACCTGACCCACTAGAGTGGAGGGAGCAGGGAATGTTAATGGTCCCTTCTCCTAAGGAGGTTCATCTACTGGGACCAAGAAGAAAGGCCTTCTCCATGATGGCTCCCTCCCAGTGGAAAATCATCCTGTGGACATAAGATTGGCTCCCACTACAACTTTCAAAAGGCCCTGAAGACATGTCAATGAGCCCGGTGACTCCAGATCAGGATAGAGCCTATCAAGTGGTTTATTTGATTGATAGTTATCATCGGGGGGGGGGGGGGGGTTATGGCTTGTTACTATTTTTATATTGGGTTTTTAAGCTGCCCAGTTACTGACAGTGAGTTGGGCAGGCATATACATTCTCATAAATAAATAAAATACAGATCTGATGTTTTGCCACATATTTTTTTAAAAACCTTAATGGTTTCATATTTTATCAACATATCACGAGGATTCTGTAAAATACCAGCTTTAATAAAAAATAAACAATTTCCTCAAGATTCACTGAGATGGTTTGGTATCGGCTACTTAATGTTTACAGGGCTTTTTTTACTAGAAAACTCTTTGCTTTTATACTTTCAGCCTAGAATAAACAGCATTGATGGGAGAGTTGTTACAAGAGGTGCAGAGGTGGTATTTAGCAGATTCCAACTAGCTCTGGAGAACCAGTAGCAGAAATTTTAAGTAGTTCAGAGAACTGGTAAATACTACCTCTGACTGGACATTTTACAGTATCCTTCTCCTGCCATGCCCACCAAGCCACTCCCACAGAATCGGTAGTAAATTTTTTTGAATCCCACCACTGAAGAGGTGACATGAGAAATATTTATCATCGGATTCATAAGAATTGAAAGATCTGGGGGAAGGGATTATATCTAGTGGTGAATAACAGCATTTATGAAACAGAGTCCCATAGAGGAAAAAAAGACAAAAGAAAATATTACTAATCCTTTTATCAACACTATGCACAATTCTTAATTTATTCTCTCAGATATTTGTCTAATGTGTGGAAAACTAGAAGGAAAGAATGATGGTGACTGAAAATTTACTATCCTATCTCCCGTAGAGAGGCCAATTTCAAATTCTGAATTTTTATTTTGAACTTTTAGGAAAACTTTTTTTTGACTCTTCTATTTTTATGATGGTAGGTTTGGGTCCATTGTAACCCGCTTTCCTCAAACCTGGATACTGAAACTGCTAAATCTTTTTTAAAAATTACTTTTTGAACATTTCATCAAAATTCTTTCAATGACTTCTATAAGTAAGCATTATTTGTGTGAATATGTGCCTTCAAATCAGTGTTGATGCCTGGAAAACTCTTTACAGTTCCCTTCACAAGATTTTGGAACTGTTTTGCCACTGTCTCCTCCCTATGGCTGCGAGGGAGCGTGGCTTAAGGTCACTCAGAAGCTTCATGACAAGGCAGAAGTCTCCGAGCATGATCATCCTAGCCATTGCCAGGATTTATGAAAAGTTCCGGAGAGAGTCTTTAGGGAGGTAATTCTATTCTTCCCCCATTTTAGAAAGTGTTTTTTTATCATTGTTTAAAAATGAAACTATAGATCACCATAATGGCTTCCAAAACAGAGCTTTATTTCTCCTGGCATAGAGCCTACTGTTTCGACAAAAAGATGAAAGAGAAGATGACTGCTTAATTCTAGAAACTATCTTTTCACATTAGTAAATCACATATTGATACAAAATTATTATTGGCTTATTAAGTCTGATTTTTCAAAGTTTGTATGCATCACAAATTCTGTATTTTTAAGACTTCAGTAAAGATCTGTTTTATGATTATAATTATGAAATGCCTATTAACAGAATATGAAGGGACTATGATATGGTAACTTTCAATATTTATTCACAGCCTTCTTTAATGTTCTTTTAAAATACTTTCAAATATATTTTTTAAAATTCATCTTTGCAGAACATTGATGGCGTCTAGATAAATGAAGATCTGAAAACTCCCAAATTTGTGAACATATTCTACTCAATACATAATTCTCATTCATAAAAAATCCTGCATCCTCATAATTTATATAATATATAATTTAATGTTCTTAAAATTGAACCTACTTCATATTTGGCATAGCTGAAACAACTGGTGGGGGAGGTGAAATGCGAGGTGGAACATCATATTCCTCATTACCTAGATGTCCATTTGAAAATATCTGAAAGAGATAGATTTCTCAGGATGGTAATTTGCAAACTACATGCAAGTAAAATGCTCATTTATAACATTTTGAACCCATTCTCATCTTTAATTTCATGTTTCATTCTGTCTGTCATCAATATAAATTTCATGTGTTCAGCACTATAAATAATTCAGCTAAGATTTTCTCACACACTTTGTAACAGAACAGAATATGTAACAGATATCTAGGAGAGAAGCAGCCTCGACCTAAGAAATTTCCTGACAGTGAAAACAATTAATCAGTGGAACAGCTTGCATTTAGAAGTTGTAGATAATCCATCACTGGAGGTTTTAAAGAAGAGATTGGAAAGCCATTTGTCCAGAACGGTATAAGATCTGCTTGTATAAAGAGTTGGACTAGAAGACTTCCAAGACCCCTTCCAATTGTTATTCCATTTTGTATTTTGTTACCTAAATAATTCAGCTAGGGTTCCCCCCCACAGACTTTAATAAGCATATTCCTTAAAAAATCTGATATGGAATTATGTTTTTAGTTATTTTACTATATAATTTTCAAATAAATTATAATTAAGTAGGCCACTAAATGATACATTACATTTACCTTCATACTGTACTATTATTTAAGCATTCGTGTTTATTAAACTTATTGCATCATGTATCTTCCAATGGTAATTCATGACATAAGAATTGTTGCAGAATTTTTTTTATTATAAACATGCAATAATGTTTTCTACTGATATCTAAATTTGCAGTAAATCCAATTATCATTTCCTATAAATGGCTATTATTTAATTATTCCACACACTTCTCAACAGCATCAGACTTCAAATTCAATATTCCTAACTAAAACTAAGCTTCATGCATCACACCATTTGGCTCTTACCTTGGTACCTTCTAAAGGTAATTCAGAGAATCTGTGCTTTCGCAGAAATAATGGATCAGAACCCATACGACAATGTCGTCCATTCATATTTGAGCTCGCAGTAAGTCCAGTTTTGGGACAATTATCATTTCCTACTATACGACATCCCACAATTTGATTATTCCCACACACTTCTCTGGGGCACCAGGCTTCAAGTGGCATTGGTTGTTCCCTGGCAGATACACTTTCAGGATGATGCAAATGTCTACTTAATCTATTATCTGGAGGAATGGGTGGAGGCCTTTCTGGTGGAGGTGGAGGTGGATCTCGTATTGGTGGTGGTGGTGCTGGAAGAGGCTTGTCTTGTTTCCTCATCATACCTGGAGAAGACTGAGGCATAACACAAAATAAAATGCTTCATTAAGTATATAATCTATACTTAAGTGACAAATACAGTATTTTGTATAGTCACCCTAATACATACATAACTCAAAATTAATTCTGCAAATTTTTTTGAATCAAGATAAACACACCCAAATATAAAAGCAAACCGTATTATAATGTCCAGAAGCCTACTCTTTCAATGTCAGTTAAAATGATAACATTAATTAAAATATCAATGGACAATTTGCAAACTTCAATAAATCAATAACAATCCATAATTAACAATTAAAAACTCATCAAATCAGAAAAATAAAATACTAATACAGTACAAAGCTAAGATGTTGCATACATATGGAAGCACATGATTTGCAGATGATACAATGGTGGTGGAACTCATCTCTGGGGGCAATGAGGCTGCCTATCGAGATGAGGTGGATGGGTTGCTTTTGTGGTGTGGAGACAATAATTTGGTCCTTAACACCAATAAGACCAAGGAGCTTATCGTGTACTATAGAAGGAATAGATCAGACATCCAGCCCTTGCTTATCAATGGAGGCCGAATGGAACAAGTGGATAGTTTTAAGTTTCTGGGTGTTATCATAAAAAAGGACCTGACCTGGGGTGCTCACGTTGCAGCAGTGATCAAAAGAGCCTAGCAGAGATTATACTACCTGAGACTTCTCAGGAAACAACAACTGAATGAAAAACCTACCGCTGTATCATAGAGAGTATTTTAACTTACTGCACCTGTGTATGGTTTGCCAATTGCACAGTGGCAAGATAGGACAGCGCTCCAGACGGTTAACGTCATTGCCAAGAGGATCATTGGTTACCCTCTTCCCTCTTTGGAAGAGCTTTATAGCTCCCGCTGCCTTACGAAAGTTCAAAACATTCTTAAAGTTCCATCTCATCCTGGGCACCCTTTTTTTGAACTATTACATCTGGCAGACAGTAAAGAATAATAAAAACAGACAAATAGGCTGAAAAACAGCTTCTATCCCAGGGCAGCAACTATATTAAATTCTACTGTGTAGTGCAATATTAATGCAATATCAGGTTTTTAATTGTACAGAATGTAAAGGATGTGTGTTTGTGTTTTGTTTCTATAGTTATAACGTACACTGAAGATGGCATTTAGTTTTGTTGTACGAGTTGCAATGACAATAAAGTAAACTAGACTAGACTAGACATACTCTAAATATCTTCTTTTTTTTTACTATGCATCCAACGTTTGGTTAAAAATCTGTTTAGTGTTCCAGCTATAATCCAAAGCTGGATATTCTTTAGAACGTTTATAAAATAATTATTTCTCTTCTCATAAAATACTGTCTTCACTGTAATCAAAAGTAGTCTCCATAATTTTTTCAACTAATTGTAATTGAGTATCCCACATAATTTTATTTGTTCTAGTATCTGTGAAAGTAAGTGTAGAATATATAAGTAAAATAATTAACTTTATAAGGTAACTCGTGATTTTTGAAAAGAATATAGAGTACCGCACTGACTAGAGCATCTCACTATATAGAGACATAGGATAGTGTGTATATATAATAATCATAAAAAGTCACAGAAAGTATTGAAGTATTAACACAGGAAGGAGATTAGGCTGTTGGTTTGAGCTCCGAGCTTGGCAATTTGGTTACAAACATTTCATCACCATTTGAGGAAACATCATCAGTTCAAAACGCACTGACGATGCTTCTCGAATGGTGACAAAATGTTTGCACATTTCAACAGGAAGGAGAGCTCAGAGTTCAACAGTGAAGACATACACACACACCAGTTTATATGCTTTACTTGTTCTAATTATTGTTTGCTTTTCCAAATACACAAAATATTGACAGTGAAAAAAGAAGCAAAAGCTTAGGTGCAGGAATGGTCACAAGTTAATTGATTTCAGTGTATTTGAATAAAAGCAGAAAAACCCTGAGAATAGCAACTAAAGAGGTCCTCATATTGCTTCTAAGAAAAATAATGTTAAATTCCTAAGTTCTATTACTAAATTGTACGTTTACCTTTGGTGAGTTTGTTGGGCTGGAACAAGGAGATCGGCAAACTCCTTTCTGTATTAGGTCCAATCGAGGAGGGACTGGTGGAAGGGTAAGATGGGATCCTTGTATGGGATCAGGAAATTGTTTCCTTCTTTGAGCAAGAGGAGATGATCCTGGAGATGTCACTGGGGAATTCTGTCTTTCATTACACTGCAACAGAAGATATTATGAAGCACCAACTTGCAAGTTCTTACTAGGCACTTGTCAATTATAACAATATAAGATGTTCAGACTGGATTTGGAATTTTTTGTTCCTCTATCAAGACTTTCCCAAGGACCTGGGACAGGCAGATGTGGATGTTTGATGGTGTTACATCTCAGGTATAATCTCAGGATGCAAACTGTTTTGAGTAAAGCTGCTTTTTCAACTGACTGGTGGTGAATTTGTCAATGCCAATAGTGTTCAAGTGGTGCTCTAGTTGTTTTGGGATTGCACCCAAGGAATGTATGACTATTGATACTACATTTGCTTTCTTTTGCCATAGTTGTTCTATTTGCAGGTAATAAAATACAATTATTTACATTATTAATACTATATCCCACTTTTAAAGGAGCACTTAGCAAAACTCAGCTCTTCTTTTTCCTCACAATTCATAAAGCACACTCTCTGCTCATTTAGCAGCCACAATTTGTTCTTAAAACAGAAATAGTCATTAAGTAAACAGATGACTGAAAGTGGTACATCTTACAGAAATCAGATTTGATTGTATCTTGTAAAACAGGTAGAAATCCTGCTCCCTCAACAGAGGCAACCCAGAAAAAGTCAATATAATCCAATCTATTATCTAAGTTAGACAACTAGCTTTATACGATTTGAAGTTTCATGCTACTTGACTCCTCACTCTTTGGAATCTTGTAAAATCATTTATGCTGGTCTATGACTATAATAAAGATTTCATTGTAATGGCTTAAATTTAATCCTCAATCTTTTGTTTGATCATTTAAAGCTAGTTATTTCTCTCTGTTAGTAATTTAGTAGTCCATCTTTAGTTTTTATTGGAGTTCTTTAAAATAGAAAACTAATCCCTATCAGAATGTTAATTTTTACAGTTGGATGTTTTCTGAAACAAGACTGTTTTTGCTTTCTGCAATATCTGCCATTATGTTTTTCAGACAGTATTTTTTTTAAAAAAAGATCTTAAGTTACTAGGTATTTCATTTTTATAATAGTAATGCCATTTCAGTTCTTTAATTTGATATCTTGATATTGAATCATACTGTGTAAGATCAATTCTAAAGAGTCCTTTAGATAAGTAAATGTCAAAAGACTATCTTTGGCATATAATTTCAGTTTCTGTTCTCAGTTTACTAAGAAGATTTTCAGTTTCCTGAAAATATATTGGTGCATATAGGCATGTCTGCATATGTGTATGTTACATATACAGAGAGTCATAAAATTATACCAGTGGCCAATTTTATGAAGGCTGGATATCAGCCAGCAGTCAACAAGATTGCCACATAATCAAGAAATTCAAGCCAGCCCAAATTGTGACATTTTTGTTGATGATTTTATTTATATTTGCTTCTTTCTTTTACCTTCATTTATTGGTTTCCATTTGCAAATTAGGTGGGAGGAGTCCTAGAACTCTATTCCCAAATTACCTATATAGCAGTGATGGCTAACCTTTTTGTTGTTGTGTGCTAACGTCACACACATGTGCCTGCATTCATAATGCAATGCGCGTGCAACTCCCTGCCACTTGCCCCACCCCTGTGAGCATGTATGACAGAGACCCCCTGCTCTCCCCCACCCCCTGGTCCCCCCACGGCCCATTTTTGCTTTCAAGAGGCTACAGAGAGGTCTACTAGACCCAAAATGGAGAGCGTGGGAAGCCACGCCACACCCATGCTCCCCCCACCCCTCATGCATGTGTCTCCTGCATATGGCCCCCCACACATGTATGACAGAGACTCAAAAATCAGCTGGCTGGCAGGAGGCACATGCACAGTGGAGCTGAGCTGGGACAATGACTCACATGCCTACAGAGAGGGCTCTGCATGCCACCTGTGGCATGTGTGCCATAGGTTCGCCATCACAGCTATATAGGCTAAGGCAACAGTATTATAGGTATAAATACAGCTTAAATATACTACTCAGAATTTTGCTCTAAATATGATAAGCCTGCTTTCAACTAAACTTTATAGAGATCCCTTCAAAAATTTTGTTTAATCCTCAGAATATTCAAAATGGGTTGAAATATACTAAAATATGAAATATTAGTACATGCATGATCAGTTATGGAAAGATTTTCAGCTATAAATAACATATATGCATGAAGTGGTGACAAAATAGGGTGTCAGGGAACCCCTGACTCAGCAGATGCCAACAAAATACAATATCATAGATTAACAGCAATTGTAGTTCAGTAACATCTGGATCGACACAGCTCTATTCTGCTCTATTGTAGAAATTAATATTCAACTGTGATTAGCTATTATAATTAATGGAATATTGGAGTGAATCTGACTCTGACACCTGGTTTTAGACAGAAAACATAGGAAATGCTGATGTATCCGTACCTTTCTCATGGAAGCACTTGGATTGCTACAATTAGAAATAAGCTGATGAGCTAAATAGTTTCCTATAATAATACAAAAGAATTTTTCTTATTTTCCAATACTCTCCACAAAATAAAAGAGAGAATGCATCAGTTTACATCCAGTGAATAGACAACGATGCAATTTAGTCTACTAGTTCATATTTTTACTGGAAGTCCTTGAATTACACGTTCATTTAGTCAGTGTTCGAAGTGACAACGGCATTGAAAAAAGTGGCTTATGTCCAGTTTTCACACTTATAACCATTGCAAATTCTTTAATTGATGTGTAAATTATAATTGCAAACTACAAAGTTATTGCATATTTCAGGAAAAAGAGAAGCACCTTTCGCACAGAAGCTAACCGATTCATCATCAAAGACTCTTCTCTATCATCATCATCATCGAAGTCAAGCATAGGAATACCAAAGCTATCCAAAATACTGCAGCATCTTATGTTTTCATCTCTGGGATCAAAGGGATCTACAATTATGGGTTCAGTTCCTTTGATTTCACAACGGCAAAAAGGACATCCTTGACCATCAGATTCCTGAATTATGAAAACAAAAATGTTTAAATGCTGAGAACTATTTAGCATTATTTGATTACATAGTAGATTCTTAAGGTAATGAAAAGTATATTAATAGTATTTTTAAAAACACCGATGCAAACATGGAGACAGAGAGAGAGAGAGAGAGAAAAAAAAGCTTCAAATGAACAGCAGCACCAGCAATTTTCTATTACATACCATGTTGGGAAAGACCAATTGAAGTTGGACATTCTTCGTTTTTACATGAGTAAGATCCATTCATGCCCTTCTGTCATTCTTAATATATCTCAAATATATTGAGAAATTGAAAAAATGATATTATCCCTCATGTTAGGGAATTTAACTAACCCATCTTGGAAAACACAATATTCTTTATTTATCAAATGAAGCAATATGTACTGCTTTGGAAATATTCCATATTATTTTATATTTAACTATACTATAACATTAGATAGCATTCATTAATATGGCATTGACTATTGACAAGTTTAATAATTCAGGTTAAAGAGAATATTTGTAGCTGAGGGTTGAATTATGGGGTCCTTGATTGTCTGTGAATTTGTTTGTTTTCCAAAATGTCTGTAAGATAACAACCAAGCTCAGAGAGCACCAAGGACCCCACAATTAAGGTTGATTTTTTTATTTTTTTCTTAATCTGTTTATTTGTTAGAGTTTGCAGCAGAAATTCAAGTCCAGAAAATACACAGATAACTGACTCAGCAGGATTCATTAAACTTTTTATATAAAATAAGTAAATGTACAATACCAGTAGTTTCTTCCAACGTGGAAAGGTTACAACCAAACACAAACAGAAGCAGACACGTTACAGCTTCAGTTCAGAGGAGAGCTCTAGTTTCAGTTTCAATTCTCAGCAAAACACACAGAGCCAAACACACCCAGGCTGTCAGCTCACATTGGCTGGTCTGTTGCCATGCTTACTGACTTGCTGACTTTGTTAACCATGTCTCTGCCAGTTAATGAATATACTCTGACATTATTTTCCTCATTCTTTTTTAGTTTACTTTACTTTACTTTATTGTCATTGCACCTTGTACAACGAAATGAAACACCATCTTCAGTGCACATCATGACCATGAAAATAAACACAAACACACATCCTTCATGCTCCACACACTGAAACTAAACCCCTGACACTGCACCATCATTGCACTATACAGTAGAACTCAAAAGAGCTACTGCCCTGGGATAGAAGATGTTTTTCAGCCTATTTGTCCTTTTTATTATTCTTTACCGCCTGCCAGATGGTTAATAGTTCAAAAAAAGGGTGCCTGGGATGAGATGGATCTTTGAGAATGTTTTGAACTTTTTAAAGCAGCGGGAGCTCTAAAGCATTTCCAAAGAGGGGAGAGGACAACCAATGATCTTTACATTAACCCTCTGGACTGCTTTCCTGTCTGCCACTGTGCAATTGGCAAACCATACAGAGGTACAGTAAGTTAAGATACTCTCTATGGTGCAGCAGTAGAAGATCACCAGCAGATTTTAATTCAGTTATTGTTTTCTGAGAAGTCTCAGGTAGTATAATCTCTGCTGGGCCCTTTTGATCACTGCTGCAACGTGAGCACCCCAGGTCAGGTCCTCTTTTATGATAACACACAGAAACTTAAAACTGGCCACTTGCTCCACTTGGTCTCCATTGATAAGCAAGGGCTGGATATCTGATCTGTTCCTTCTATAGTCCACTATAAGCTCCTTGGTCTTATTGGTGTTGAGGACCAAGTTATTGTCTCCACACCATGTAAGCAACCAGTCCACCTCATCTTGGTAGGCAGACTCACGCCCCCCATCAGAGATGAGTCCCACCACTTTTCTTTCTCTATCATTTATAAGTTTAACAATTATTTCATTTAATTGTGCTTTCAGTACATTTTATGTTTTGTCTATATTTGTGCTGTTTCTAGATTTAATTTTTTTTTAAACAAAATAAAGGAATTGTTGACACCAGATGAAAAAATGTATGCTGCTATTTGTGAGACCTTGGTTTTTATTTGATTAATTACCATCATGTTGGTGTTGACTCTTAGTGCGATGGCCTAGAAGTGGAGCTGGAGACTGTGAATTTGAAACGGAAGTGATGTCGAGGTGACACTAGTCGCAAGGGAGTGGTGCTCTCCGTCCCTGCACTGGGTTCTCCTGGATTGTGGGCTCGGAAGATGCCAAAGCCGCCTTGAAGAGGTGGTGAAGCAACAGAGGGGTACCCTGAGAGATTCCTGGGGAGAATCCAACTACCCTGTAGAGCCTCAGGGTTTTCTATGCCCTCTATGCCACGGCAGGAAGAAGAGGCAGCCAGGATGGCTGCCACACAGCCGGAGACAGCTTAATATCCAAGCCAGAATGTAAAAAAGCCAAAGAAATCCTTTGAACTAGCCACGTTTAGCAACTGTGAAGTGAAAAATGATTTATGGGTGGTGGACAGTGGTGCATCCCACTGCATCACGAGAGATAAGACAAAGTTTATAAAAATGTCTACAAGCTCTCAACATATATCACTCGCGAATGGCTGGCACCTCAAGGCCAAGGGTGAAGGTATTGCATATTGTCCATGCTTAAACCAGAATATAAAAATGTTGTATGTACCACAGTTAAAGATGAACTTACTTTCTGTAAGAGTATTAGATAAACTAGGTTATGTAATTACATTTAAGAATAATAAGTGCATACTTGAAAGAGATAACAAAAGGGTAACTGCAGCTTTAAATGGAGCATTGTATGTCTTACATGATAGTAAGAAAGGGGACGCACAGACTGTATTTAACAATATAAAGCCTCATAATGAATGTATCCATTTATTGCATAGGCGTTTGGGGCATGTAAATTTTAAAATGCTAAAACGTACAGTAGAGTTATCTGATGGCATAAGGTTAAAACCTTGTGATAAATATTTGCGTTGTAATGTCTGCTGTGAAGATAAGAGTAAAATATTGCCTGCAAATAGGCTAAATGGTTTCAAAACTAAAGAACCTTTAGAGGTAGTATTTGCAGACATCATAGGTCCAAAGAAACCCAGTATGGGGGGTGCTCGATATATACTGAGCATTATGGACCATTATTCTAGATATGGGTTTTGCTACCTAATGAAAAGCAAAACTGAAACATATCAACATTTCTTCAACTGGTTAAAGTTTGCAGAAAGAAAAACTAAACGGCAACTGATAACCTTGGTGACAGATAATGGTACGGAATTTGTTAACAGCAAATTCCAGAATAGATTAAAGGTAGCTGGAATAGAGCACAAGAAATCTGCACCATACAGACCACAACACAACGCATTTATTGAGAGAAGAGGCCAAACACTACAGGCAATGGTTAGAACAATGTTAACTGATTCTGGATTACCTGATTCTTTGTGGGGGGAGGCCGCAATGTGTGCTAATAACATATTGAACAACGTTGTTAACACAACTACTGGTGAAATACCATTCACCATGTGGCATGGCAGGAAGCCTGATTTGAGTTACCTGCACACATTTGGTGCACCAGCATGGGTGCATATCCCTACACAACTCAGGCGTAAAGGGCAACACAGAGCTAAACAGTTATTCTTCGTTGGTTACCAAGCTAACCATAGGGCATATAGATTTTGGGAGAAAGGCACATCTAAGGTGTTATGTAGTGCCAATGCCCAATTTCTAGAGCACGTAGGATGGGATAAGTTAGAACAGGATAACAATAAAGAAATAATTATTGAATCCTATAGAAATCCCATTAATTATCCCTGTAACTTTAAAAATAAAGTAAAGAGAGAAGTACAGGATGAGATAGAGCCCGTACAGGAAGAAATAGCTGAGCAAGCTGAGGAACATGAACAGGTAGTAATTCAAAAAAGTCCTCATACAAGCCCTGTAATTCCCAGAAGAACTACACGAATATCTAGACCGCCTGATAGATACCAGGCTAACACAGTGTGCCAGATTAATAAAGTTCCATATACTGTGGATGAAATAAAAATGTATCCTTCTAAAGATAAGGAAAGTTGGTATGCAGCAATGAATAAGGAATTGAAATCCTTGAAGGATATGAAAGTTTATGAAAATGTGAGATTACCTGTTGATATAAAACCCATTGGCTGCAAATGGATTTTTAAGATAAAAACTGATAAGGATGGAAACATAATCCATAAGGCAAGATTAGTAGCCCAAGGTTTTAGACAAAGTGCCAATGACTATGATGAGGTATTTGCACCTAGTCTTAAAGTAGCAACATTAAGGGCAGCTTTAGTGTGGGCAGCAAGCAAGAAATATATAGTTAACCATCTAGATGTGGAAACTGCTTACTTGCACGCTCCACTAAGACATACTGTATATATGAAAAAGCCTATTGGATTTAAAGGTGAAAATAATAATGATTGTTGGTTGTTAAAGAAGAGCCTCTATGGTCTTAAACAATCAGGCTATGAATGGAACCAGTATATTGTAAAGGAACTAAACAATATAGGGTTTAAAGCTGGTTTAGCCGATCCATGTCTGTTTAAAAGGGAGACAAATGGGAAAATATCATTATTATTATTGTTCACGGATGATATTGCTTTGATTACTGAGACTAATGATGAAGCAAATAAAATAATAGCATCATTAGCCAAGAAAATAAAAATCAAGCAATTAGGGGAGATAAAGAAATATCTAGGTTTGAATATACTGAAAACACAGAAAGGTTTTAAGATATCTCAGGAAGATAAGATATCTAAATTACTAATAGATTATAAGATGGAACTTTGTAAGCCTGCAAAGACTCCAATGAGTCAGGATATTTGCAAAATGGATGCTCAAAGTCCCAAATTTGATAAGGTATTATATCAATCTTTGATTGGTAGCTTATCATACATTAGCAATTGGTCAAGGCCAGATATAGCTTATAGTATTAATCAACTGGCACGACATAATAATGATCCACTTCAATGTCATTGGATAGCATTAAAGAGGATTTTAAGATATCTTAAAGGAACATTACACCATGCACTGTATCTAGAACCAAAAGGTGATTTCATACTGAGTGCTTATGCAGATGCTAGTTTTGCATCAGAAAGAGACACAAGAAAGTCGACTTCAGGAACAGCCATAATGCTGGGTAAGACATTAATAGGTTGGAAGTCAATAAGACAACAGCATATAAGTTTGTCTACTATGGAGGCAGAATTCTCCTGTTTATCGCTATTATGTACTGAATTAATTATGTATAAACAAATGATGAATGATATGGGTATAACTGTAAATTATCCTATAATTGTACATGAAGATAATCAGGCAGCAATTCAAATGGCCACAAATATTGCAGTAAAAACTAGGAGCAAGCATACGGATTTAAGGTACCTAAACGTTAGACAATCTGTAAAGAGTAAAATGATACAGCTGGAGTACTGCATGTCGGAGGACAATATAGCTGATAATTTTACTAAAGCCCAAGGTGCCATTAAGCACCAAGAGAGTTGTGAAAAGTATGGGTTTAGATTGTAAGGGTATTATATATTTATATCACCCAAAAGGGGAGAATGTTGGGTATATTGATACACCAACTAGGTTTGGGTGAATAAATATATAAACCTAGGTTTAAGTGTTTGTAGCTTTAAGCACCAAACTGCAATGTAATTAGATAATTAAGGGTGCGGTTACAACCTGCAATAAAAGGCAGTAAGAGAAACGTAACCTTCTCTCTGGTCTCTCTGCTCTCTGCCTGCCTGGTGCTTACTCCTGTTTGAGACATCTGCTTGTTACTGCTTGTTGGCTACTGTGCTGGATACCGTTTCTGCTGAACAAAAGGACTATTCCCTTGGTGAGCTGATATCCTGTGAATACTCAGCGTTGTCTTCGAGAGAAAGGTATCGGGAGGAGAAGATTTACAAGCAGATAAGGACATAGTACTGACTAGTTAATGGACTAAGTTACTGGATGGATATATTTGTGAATGACATATGGACTGATTGACAATGCTTAAACTCTGAGTGGATTAAACAACTATTTAAAACTACAAACAGTTTTTGTCTCCAGTGTGTGTATACTCTTGGGCCCAGCCTCTCTCATTTGGCTGCCTGGCTTGACTGCTGCTGCACACTCTGCTTGGGGGTTTGTCCCCAATCACTAACAGTTACTAATTGGAGTATGACACCCTTATATCTTTTAATTACATCCATCCAACTCTTATTTAAACTACCAATATATACCTTAAGGTTATGACCTCCAATATAATACATAATTTCCAATCGAATTCTGCTTGGTACATTCTTATAATACACATTATATTCTTTTTTTAAAAAAAGATTGTAAATATATGTAATTATAAACCCTCATTCCGTTCCAGTTCAGTTCTATCATTAACAATCATTAAAATCTTAACATCTTTAACACTTCTTTTCAATTAAATATCATACTTCCTTAAAAACACATATAATCTGCATAATGAATTTTTCCCTTATTTCTCTTCACATTTTATAAATCATTAAATATACCTTATATTACATTTATTTATTGACAAACATTCCACTGAATTATGATAGCTATTTTATCATACATTTTAATCATACACTGTTTCTTTCTAAAATTATTTCTGTTTCTAATATAACCATACTATCTTATGTACCTTTGCAGAATCCCTTTTTCCATTAATTTTTCACCCTTTATCTCTAAATAGGCCCTGTTTCTCTGTATTTTGTTTCTGTCCTTTATGACTTTTTTCCCTTTCTTTCTTCCCTCTCATCTTCTCCCTCCCCTTTTTACCCCCTTGTCTCTCTAGTTCTAATTCTTTCTTCTGCATTTCCCTCTTCTGTTGCTTTCTGATTTTATACTTATTTTTCACACTATTTTTTTTTGGAGTTGTTTTTCCCAATCGTAAACTTTCCATTCTCTTTCCCCCCTTTCCTTTCCCCCGCCCCATCTAAGATTACTTGTTCATTAAAGATGGCTTCTTCTTTGTCGCAATCTTCTTGTTCTGCAGGCATTTCTTGTTGTTTCTCATAATTCCAAATCTCCATTTCTAAAAACTGAAATACAAAGCCAAAAGAACCTCTCCCTTCTTGTGCGTCTTCTTTGTACTTTTTAAGTTCCATTTTCAGTTCTTCTAAAAGTGGAGCCATTTTAAACAGTTTTAAACAACCACCCGATTGATTTTAATCATTCAAAACAATAACCAAGAATCCAGAAATCATCAAGTAATCCAGATAGTCCCGAGTTATATCTTCTTATTTCTTTTTCGACTTTCTCTTCCTGGGGTTTTTGTTGTGATATTTCAGTTAGAATGTATCTTTTGGAAGTCTTGTTGAGATTTTGCTATAAGTTCTTTTTTAATTCCAGGCAGTCTCCTCCCTTCCAGATCCTGCCCTTTTATTCTTCCTCTCTCCTTTCCTGTTTTCAAAAGCTTTTAATTATCCAGAAATCTTTATTATCCCTTTGACTTTTTTATTTTCCGCATTAAATGCCTATTGATGTCAAAGTGGATTTTTTCCCCATTTTTTACTTCAGTCTCTTAGCTCTCAATATAGGAAAAGGAGAAAAAAAACCAAATCTTTTCCCTTTTCTCTCTCCTTCACAGCTTAAAAATCTTCATAGGGAACAATGTTATTGTTTTTTAATAGTTTCAATTCCAGCGTACCTTATTTGTTGCTTTTGCTGTTTGACACAGTCAACCAAAACTTTCTCCTCTTATCTTCCTCCTGCACATTCTTTTCCAGTCGAGTTCTTCTTTGTGGTGGCCATTTCTGACCACCACTGCAACCGCCTTCAGGAAAGGGAGTAATGGCCAGCTGGGGAGAAGAGATGCGGCTCTCCTCAACCCTGCAGGGAGTCTCCCCCCTCTTTACCACCTCTACGGGGTGGCTTAGCCCCGAAGCCAGCCAGCTTGGGGCACTCCAGCGGCAAGCACGGATTGAAGCCTCGCAGAGACTAGATTTCGGTCTGTCGCTGAAGAAGCTCAAACTGGAAGTCACACTGCAGTGGCTTCATAACCATACTGCTTATATATCATTGAACTCATATTTGATTTTCAGAACAGTGGAGCTCCAACTTATATAGTGAAAAGTTTAGGGCTTAGGAGTATAATCTTTTATATTATTAAGGACTAAACTGATGTCAAATTTTAAAGTATTAGATCAGAAGAGCCAACTACCATTATCAATCCTTCTTAGGTATTCACAACATTACTTATAAATATGTAAATTATATACTTTTACATTTTTATACATAAACTAGGCATTTAATTTACCGATGGCTTTTTAAATATTGTAGTGCAAACCAAGATTTCCAAAATTCTTTTTATTGAGAGACTTAAACATTAATTGGACCTAGTCAGCTGAAAAATTGGTGGACCTCACTAGCCTTGCTATAACCAATATAAGCTTATACAAATGAATTATGTTTGTCTGTTCTGTTGAACTGAACTACAAAAGTATCTAAAATCAAAATAAAAAACACATGCATACTCCTACATCATTCAGTTTGGGCTTTGGGCAGGTACTTGTCAGATTTTTAAATGTTTGCTACAGAAAAAGTGCCAATTTATTCAAAGACTTCTGCTCTATACTTTAAGGTAAGATATTGATCTATGCAAAATTATATGACATATACATATATATGTATATATGAGAAATCAATTAGAAACGTTCATTTTAGATAAAAATTTGATCTCATCTTACCTTATTTTAGTTGTATTTTTATTTCAATGCCTTTAAAACAAAGGATACCCAACATGTACAGGGACTGATTGACCTTCGGCATAAAATATCATGCAAATGTGATTTTGTATTCACTAAGGAGCTGGGAGTAACTTATTTTATTAAGTAAAACAGATGCTTTATTATGATAAAAAAGTACCAGAACTCTCTCCTTAGGCATCTCTAACGAGCCATTATGACAGCAATTAAACACTAACATTGGCAAGTAGAAACTGAACTGCTGTACTATTTTCTCTTCATCAGCTTGTTAATTATACAGAAGTTAAATGTGCAGTGAAATTTATTTTAAACAAAATGACTGTTAATGAAGAAAAACTTAATACTCCATTTACTTGGATGTCACTTGCTAAAGTTACAGCTTGACTATATATTAAATGTTTTTGTTTTATTAAAAACCTACATTCCCACTGATGCTTTGACCCAGAAAAATTCTGATACTGTGCTTCTAATTCTATACTGATTTCACAACTGCTCCCAAGAAAACATCCCTATCAATGAATAAATGGAAACATATTTTTAAAGAGGATTCCTATCATTTATGCAGTCTCTTAATATGTTAATTTAGTTAATTAACTAATATTATGTTAATATTAGTTAATTTTTCTGATTAAGTGATTTTAGAAGTTACAAGACAATGTTGCAGATAAAATATTCTTAGTGACTGAATATTCATCTTAAGTTGGAGAATTATACTGTTGGTTGATTTTTGTCTCATTTATTTGAGAATATTTTTCTGTCCATGCTCCATTATGTTCCCTTGCTATTACAAGTGTCAAACCCTTAACAGCTACTTACAAACATTCTTTAAACAGATTTACTAGAAAGGACAATAGAATTAAGTTACGTAAAACTGGGAAATGTTAAATTCAATACCCAGGTTTATTAGTACCCAGTTTTTAAAAATCTTCTTACCTTTTGATACACTGCATTTTCCTGATAAAGAATATAAAAGTGTTCTATGATTACAGTATTTTGAAAGAAGTTATCCTATTTCCCTAGAAACTATCATTTCAAGATTTATTCCTCCAACTAAAACGTATTAAAGTCTCAATACAAAAAAGAATGAGAAATAGAAAAAGGATATGTATGAATTTGATTACAGAAAGACAGTTACCTGCCATGCGGTTAGGCAAGATGTACACATCAAATGTCCACAAGGTTCAATCTTCACATCTTTATCATTTTCAGCACAAATTTTACAAAGCTGGAATGTGGAACCCATTTCACAATATAATTCATATTGTTCCTGAAAAGGAATGACTGCAATGAAGAGCCTCTGAAAATGATAATATAAGAGCTACTTGGCTTACCATTCAGGCTGTAACTTTTACATCATAACATATACTAGTAAGACAAATTGTTACTGAATATATTCATATATTATTTATATATGTTATTGCTTTTTCAAACAAATACATGTAAATATATTTATATAAAAATTCTATTGCTCATAAACAACCATAACAAACCACCCACACAACCTTATAGCACCTTAACTAAAATAAGTTATTCTGACTCAAATCTCTTGCACAAGAATCTACTTCATCAGAGAAATATCATTAAAACTTGCCCTAATAGATTAATTCAGGTTTCAGAAAGCTCAGATACTTTTTGTGATTTATCTAAATGCATCAAGCCTTTTAGAAAGGAATATTTTTCTGATATTTACTGGATTCGGTATTATTTAATAAGTAGCTTCTTCGATAATACAATTGTTATATTGGTGGTAATACAAAGTCTCGATCAGCAGCAGAAACTGTGCTTAAAGTATATATTATTAGAATTTTCCCTTTAGAATTTTAAACAAACAAAGATTTGTTGCTATCTCCTAGCCATTGTTGAAATAAATACATTTAAAGTTAGGGGGAAAACACAAAATATGGGTAAAAATCCCCAAATATTGTAAAAAAGTTTAATAGAACAATCTTAAATTTTAAAGTGATGAACAACAGGAAAAAGAAAAGGGAACAAAATTTAAATAAAATGATAAAAACAATTTTAAAAATCTGCCTTTGTCATGATTAATTTTCTGAAAATTAAATAAAGACTAATTTGAGTTATTTGTTTTTCCATAGGAATGACAAATTCATTAAACTAAGATGCTTATAGTGATATATACTTAAAAGATATCTGAGGTATCTTGGCAAATATTTTCTTAGTATGGTTAGCCAAGTCAAAATTGGATTTTAAAATCGTACTCAGAATTTTCATGGACTCAGATAGTCTTAGGAGATATAGATCTTTTAAAACTATTTATGGATGAATTTTCATTAAAATTGCAAGAACAGATTCAAAATGTCAGGTCAAAGCTGGAAACCAAAATTGATGAGCTTGTAAGGGAGCTCTGGGAAGAAATTAGAGATCTGAAAGGATAAAACAGATGAAAGCCAGAGTAGATTCTATGGAGCATGGTCTGGAGAAGACCAATGCTATGTGTGAGGTGGAGCTAGTCGAGATCACAGATTTGGAAGCTCAAATTAAAGAATTTCAATTAAGATTTCATGGAATACCTGAACAACGAGGAGAAGACATCAGATCGAAGCTGCTAAAGGCCTTGGCTGAATTAACTAATAAAGGGGAAGGAGAGTTACAGTTGTGTTCATAAGTTTACATACCCTGGCAGAATTTATTTCTTGGTCATTTTTCGGAGACTATAAATGATAACACAAACACTTTTCTTTCACTCATGGTTAGTGGTTGGCTGAAGCCATTTATTATCAATCAACTGTGTTTACTCTTTTTAAATTATAATGATGCAAAAATGTAATTACCTAACCGGTAGTAACACGGTTGAATCCCACCCCGTTTAAAGTCCTTAATGGATATGAATGAATTACACTCAAGTGAATAACATACAATATACCTGTGTAACTTTTATATGATCATGTGGAATAGGTTCACATAGTCCTGTCAGATCAGGGTTATAACTTCGTCCATCTGGATAAAGATAGCTGAAATGGAAATAAATGTTTGGCTCTTCATTTATATACCTATTGAATATTTAGATGATAAGTAAACCGTTTTGCTTTTTCTATTACAAATAATCTTCAGTTTACTATGGTAATTTAGACAAGAATTTCCATTGCTAAATGAAAAGCTTGATGTCATGTAGCACAACTTAGTGATGACAGTTGCAGCAGTTCCAGTTGCCATCATTAAGTAAAGACTACATGGGTTTTTAAGCAAAGTTCTCATATGGCCATGACTTACTGCCAGCCTTCCCATTGACTTTGCTTGCGGAAAGCTTGCAGGAACTCACAAATTGCAATTATGACTGCAGAAATCTGGGCTGGTTGCTAAGTGCCTGGATCATGATAATGTAACTGGGAGTTGCATTTGGCCGAATTGTGATGACTACCTTTTGTAACTACCTTTATTCAACACTGTCACAAATTTGAAGCATCGTTGAATGAATGATATTGAAAGATCATCTATACAAGTATCTCCTGCTAAAACTTCCCTTCTAGAAATGCCTGTTTTTCATTGAAAGATCTATATTCTTAATGTCTTCCACATAGAACCTCTACTAACTGCACCTCACTTTCCACTGCTGATTTCACTTCACAGTTGCCATCATTCTAGTTCCGTTTGCCCTAATTGGGGACACAAGAAAAATTCTCAGTTGAACGCTTTAAGGGAAACTAGATTTCACAATTATGATAATCAAATCAGATCAAGAATACTTTAATTCAGGAGTATCAATCTGATTGCACTGCAGGCGTATCAGGATTGCTTTTGCATTTGCAGAGCCAGGATGGGTGCAGGCTGTGCAGGCTGTATGAGGCCCATGGGGGCATGTTTGACACCCCTGGTTTAACTTGTGCTTGTTGTATTAGCAAACCATACCTTCTATATATAGATAATTCATACTCACAATCCTTCCCGGCTGCCATCAATTAGAGCTTGAAATAAAGGCTTATTGTGGGGTATGGTCTGTAAAATATTTCCATCACCAGTGACATAACCAATAGCCCACTGCCCAAGTCGAGTGCAACTTAATCTAAAAATGTAGCTGTAAAACAAAGGACAATGCCACAGTGAATGAGTTGATAAAGACAGAATAAAAATAAATAAAATATTAAAAAAGAGAAATTAGAATTTTGTGTAAGCTAAATTTATCAGTATTTTCCACTTTGGTTATAAGAGTAGATAAATAAAATCTTATGTTGAGCTTTATGGAAATCTAACTATTTCTTAATTTAATTGTATCAGACCCAGCGCTCAGCTGTAACTTAACTGTTTGACTAACAAAGTATTATGAAGATTAAAAAAGTGTCTTTACTGTCAAATAGTTTTACTTATTACATAGTTGTTCCACCAATTCCTATCTATAATTACCATTATTGTAAGTGCTTTTGTTTTGATATGGTTCACCATGTCACTAGTTTTCCTATCACAACTGTTTCGGAATGACAATAACACGAATCATTTTCTTTTTATAGAAAATCTAGTTGTTCTCAACAGACCCCTAGCTAAATATGTTCCCAATTTCCTCCATTTCTACATATTGTTCATGGGGATAATTATTATGATTTTGAATTACTTCCTTCCAATCCCCCTGAACCAAATCATCTCTTACTGAAAAGTTGCTGGTTGTAGTCCAATGTCATTAAATTATATAATTTCCCAGCCATCCAGAAACATGACTAACTAGTGGCAACCTTCCATAATCTACTGAAGCAAATTGGCAAAAAAAGTATTGAGTTCATTACCTTCCTGGTTTGGTGCTATATTTCTGTAACCGTGCTTTAACTTCATCATAAGTCAGAAATGCCATATATCCAGGATGAGTCACAGCTAAGAAGTTCCAGTTTCTTAATATTGAACCCCAAGGCTAAGTGTAAGTGAAACATATAAAATATGTATTTATATGTAAATACTTAATATATTGTATTTTCACCTCAATTTCATCTAAGAATAAAGAAAACATTTTCTGTAATACTTACCCATCAAAGTTAACATCCAATTAAAGTTAGTTACAGTGAAAAAATAAGGCATTGTAATGTAATGTTCAGATTTTAAAAAATAGCTTAAAAGTGGGCAAAGAATTAAGAATCTGAATATGGAAATAGTTCACGCTAAAACAATCCAATCTGAGATCCAAAACTAATGAAATACATACAAGCTTTCATTAAAATGATGAAAGCAGTATCATAATGCAAGCCCTTTGGACTATTTTGTGAAAAGGAGGCAGCTTCTGTCATCTGCTGCTTTCATAAATCTGCCATTAACATTTATATCATGCCTAGATTAAACCAATTCCATGTTCTGAATAAAAATTTGGAGTAATTAAAAATAAGAAATGAAAGCAACACATGTAGAGAAGGGAAATGGGATTTAATTTGTAACTTAATAAGTCATGATTTAGTAAGCCAAGATAGTTATGCTAGATCAGTTCATGTTTTCATGTGAATTCATTATTCCAAATGGTCATTTTTAAAAATTTGTATGTGTACCTTTTAAAGTTTGGTTACCCACAGAACTAGTAATATAGTGTTAATTGTATTACCTCTGCTATGAAAAACATAAAATATATCAAATTTACTAAAAAGAAATGGTATCCTAATTTAAAATTCCTCATAGCAGGAAAAATGGACAGAAAAAAATATAAAATTCTTCCATTCTTTTGTCTAAATTTGCAAAATCCAGCTATGTTCAAATAATATGGAAACGCATGTTCAGTATTATTTCAGTTTAACTAAATTACCTGAAATAATCTTGTGAAGATATCAAATTCAAAAACTGAAATATAGTCATTGCATGTTAGATCAATAGTAGACTTCAAAGCCATCGCTTCCAGACCAGAACTAATTTGATGCACCTCATGAAGACATTGTCGGAATACTTTCCAAGGCACTATGGTCCTACAATAAGGAAACAATACATATGTTATATAAGACACCATTTTAAATTAGAAATAGTCATCTTGAATAAACACTTGTTCAGTGACCAAAGTTAAAACAGCACTGAATGAGGAGGAGTTATGGTAGGTTCCCATAATCATGGCCATCATAATCTCCTCATGATCATGTTGATTATGATTTGGATGCTTGGCAATTGGCTCCAAATTATGATACGGCAGGATCCTGCAATTGTGTAATTGCCATTTGCAACTTTCACTGCTGCCTTCTGACAGGAAATTTCTCCTTAGTTCTAGGTTGGTTCTCTCTTTGATTATTTTCCATCCATTGCTTCCTGTCCTGCCTTCAGGTGCTTTGGAGAATAGATTGACCCATTCTTTGTGGCAGCCCCTTAGATATTGAAACACTGCTATCTTGTCACCCTAGTCCTTTTCATTAAACTATACATATCCTTATGTATATGTATACTTCCATACATATCCTGCATCCGTTCATGTTTCAGTTTTCAGTTCCTTAATCATCTTTATTGCTCTTCTCTGCACTCTTTCTAGAGTCTTAACATATTTTTTATCGTGGCAACCAAAACTGGATGCAATATTCCAAGTGTGGTCTTACAAAGTGATACTAACTTTAGAAAAAGTCAAACCCTAACACTTCACGTAATCTTTATTCTGTTAATGAAGCCTAGGACTGTGTTGGTTTTTTTGGCAGCTGAAGCATACTGCTGGCTCATATTTAAGCGATTCTCAAGCAGGACTCCAAGATCCTTCTCACAGTTACTACTATTGAGCCAGGGATCACCTATTCTATTCCTGAGTATTTGGTTTTTCTTGCTTAAATATAGAATTTTACTTTCCTCACTACTAAATATCATTTTGTTAGATAGAGTCCAATGTTCATGTCTGCCAAGATCCTCCTGTGTTTAGCCTATTTTTTTAAGCATTGGCTATTTCTGTCAGCTTAGTGTCATCTGCAAATTTGATGAGTTCCTATTATATCCTCTCATTTAAATCATTTATTTAGATATTGAAGAGTACTGGGCCTAACATAGAGCATTGAGGAATCCCACTGCATACTTTCCTTCATGTAGATGCAGTTCAATTAAGGATTACACATTGAGTGTAGTTGGTCAGCAAGTTACGAATCCATCTTGTGATAATGTTGTTTAACCCACATTTTTCTACCTTATCAAGTAGTAAGTTATGGTCTACTTTATCAATGCCTTACTGAAGCCCAAGTAAATTATATCCACAACATTTCGCTGGTCCACTAATTTTGTCACATTGTCAAAGAATACAATAATATTTTGCTTATCTATTTGCTTATTTACCTTATTCACTCTTTTCAAGCACATTAATAAAAGTATTTAAGAATCAACAAATCCTCTTGCAAGTGAGATAGCAAGGATTTGGAGACTAGGAAGTGGCTAGTTCCTTGTTCTAAAAAAGCAGGAATACCTCTATAGCATATAGAGAAAATGGAAATGTGTAGGATATCATGGGCAAATAGCCAAGGTATCAAAGACCAGTGTATAGCATTACTTTCTGGAAACAACTGTAGAAGAGAATGAAATTATTGCAAAACCGTGCTCCCAGGGTCCAACCCTAGATTTATTTAGGAGATTATCACAGCCAATGTTATTAAAAGCCATTAGGAAGTTCAAGCAAGCTAGCAAAAACATATACTTCATATCCAATTCCTGGCAAAAGTTATCAACAGACCAAAGCAATTTATTCCAATTTCCTGTTTGGAATGCCTGTTAAAGCAGTTACTTATTTTTCTTTCAAATGTGTCTAGATTTACAAAGCTATTGCTTTTTCACACATCTTAGGCAAATTTAAGACCACATCTTTCTTACCAAATAAAGTTGTTATTTTCTCTAAATGGCCTTTTAGCTTACTTATTTAAACTGGAAGACAAGTGGTCTCCCTCAAAAAGAGATATTAAATTTCTTCCTGAATGGGGCCACTTCTAACATGATTAGTTATATCAGCCAAGATAAGCAAAAATCAAGTAAACAAATGCAGCCTGCCTACATCTTCAATATCCACAACTAAAGGAATATTCAAAACCATAAAATAGAATTTTGGTGTATGTACCCCAACATTTAATATTTGTGTTCGCATGACATTTAACTATATTTATTTTAATTAAAGGTAGTCTTTGATTTATGAATGGTCATTTAACAACTGTTCAGAGTTACTACAACCTTAGAAAGGGTGCTTTATGGCCTATTTCTGCCATCGTAAAATATTATGCTGCCCTTTTCTGTTGTCATATGATCGCATTTTCAGTGCTTGCCAATTGGGCCACATTTACAATTTGTTGCAGCGTCCTGTGGTCATGAGGCTGTGATCCAAATGTTTTTTGCTGGTTTCCATTTAGGAGCATGGATTCACACTGATTTGCTTTGTGTGATTTGCTAACAATTGTGTGATTTAGATGTACCACTGTGCAACTCGTTTAATGACCACCATAAGAAGAGATGTAAAATCAGGTCTGGTTGTGGAGTTGTCTTACAACTGTCACAACTTACAACCCAAATTCCAATTCCAAATGTGATTGTAATTGTTTGAAGCTTAACATCAAACTCATTGACTATTATTCAGAATGCCCTAAAGAGGCATATTTGCTTCATTATCTCATTAAAGCATGGTTGTAATTTGGTATTAATTGCTGCTTTTAATTTTTTTATTTTATAACTCCATTTTTTTTAATATTGATTGGCTTTTATTTTATGCTACTTTGAGCCAGTCTTTTGTTGTTTCTCCATTATTTTTTGCTATCTGTTTTGATTTTTGCCAGTAGATAATAATTAATACTGCCTTTTGCCTTTTCTTCTGAAAATCTTCCTTATTAATAAGTGTTTGTTTCTAAATATTTTTTATTCATTTATTTTAGATTTTTTTTTGCCCTTTATTATTTTTATAGATCGCTCAAGGCAGCAAACACCTAATATGCTTTCCTCTCTCTATTTTCACACAACAACCACCTAGGAGGTGAGTTGGGCTGAGAGAAAGTGACTGGCTCAAAATCACCTATATTATTTATAAATGTAAAACTAATATAACATTGATGCCACATTACAGTGGTTACCCAAGATTCTGTTGCTAATGGCAATAGCTTCTTTTTTACTTTTCATACACATGATTTTACTACCTATTGCAAAGTTATTTTATCTTCAACATTTGCATCATAACCTTTGGTAAATTACACACGTTATGTAAAGACCTGTGATATATAAACAAACCAATTCAATTATGCGTTGTTCATAAAATCTTCAAATCTTCTATATTTAGTAATATATTAATAATTAGTAATAATTAAGTTTATTTTCTTGTCTATTGTCTATCACAGGTTTCTATAAAGATAAAATACACTAATAAGATAAAACAGCTGAAATAAGATTGAATACCAGAGACCGTTTTCAAGTCAAATGAAATATAGACTGTTGATTGGGTTAGAGGCATTTAATACTTTATATGTTTTTAGTCTGATTACCATAACGTCTTGAGAGTTTGATTTGGTGTATATCTGTGCTCAAGTTAAAAAGAAAAAACAAATAAGCATTTTCAAACTAAATTTTTATAACGAATATGGCTTCAAAGATAATTTAAGGCAATTAGACTTGTTGATTAAAGGAGCTTTCATGAGCAGGTTTCTTTAGACAAACAATAACCCTGTGGTTCTAAAACAATTCCATAGGTCTGCTTCATATTAGCAATTTTTGAGAAGTATGCTTGCATCAATCATTCTTTCTAAATTACTACCAAAATGGTCCATTTTAACTGGAAGAGAGAAAATAACAGTTTTTCAGGAATCTCTATTAAATGTGAAAGTGTAACACTGCAGAGCATTGTTTATTGTATTTTATTTATTTCTTGCATTTATTTATTCAATTTGTAGCTCACTTCAAATAATATTTCATTTGTGATAATATTATACAATTTACATGAGTGAACGTAAATGAAACAAAAAGTAATAAAGATAGTCAGGAGAAATAACCACTAGCTTCTATATTGATATAGCTCAGGGGTCAAACTGGATTTTTTGGAGGTACAGATCAGTATTATAGTTGTCCTCCCTTGTCTTTCCTTATAGTTGTCGGGCCGGGGGAGGGGAGAAATGGGATATACGGCCTCCTGCAGCACCCTGTGTGCCCCATTTTAAGCTGGACAGCCTCCAGCAGCACTTTTTGGTTGGCAGGGTGCTGCAGGACGTCCAGACCAAAAACAGGGTGTGCCCTGCCTGCGTCCCATTTTCACTAGCAGAGGCACTGCAGGCAGACATTGTGGGTCTAAGATCTAAGCACCTCACAGGCCAGATCCAGCCCACAGGCCTTGAGTTTGACACCCCAATATAGCTGAAACTTACTTTTCTCCGAAGAACTTCTTCCAGAATTCTGCAGCATCTGCTTTTGTGATACGAAAGTTGTCACCCTGGAATTGAGCATTAGGGAAGATTGCCTTTATTTCTGCAAGCATATGACTGAAGATGAGGGACAATTTTGTAAGATTTCGCCTGCCAATACAAAAAAGAAAAACAAGAAAAAAAACTGAACAATGAAATTCCACTGAACACATAAAAAGAAGGGCTACATCATACAAAAGGAATTCCCCTTCCTAATATTAGGAGAAGATACACCTAAATACAAACAAGAAACGTAAAGGCAGAAAAGTAACCTGAGAATAAAAGAGCTTAAATCACTGCTGACAAGCAAAGAGCCATCATGAAAGCAGTTACTATTCTAGGGAGAAAGACAACAGAACAAGAAAGCACACTTGTTTTTAAAAGTTATTTAATCCATCCATCTAATAACACTGCTTTACATTATAAAATACCTGACGACTGTAGGAAACTGGCAGGGAATCACAAATTGCAATCACGTGATTGCAATGGTTGGGAATCTGAGCTAGTTGCTAAGTTCACAATTACATGACTGTGGCAAGCTTTATCTGGCAGAATTTTGAGAACCAGTCATAACCATTTATTCAACAGTTTCAAGTTTTAACCATTTCAGAAAAAAACTGTCAAACGTACTCCAACCATATAGCACCATAAAACTAGTTAAATTTCTCCAAAATATCTTAAATAAATCAAAAGAACAAGTGGCCCTAGAACAAAAAACAAGAGTACTCTACAACATATAGTAATGACTGTAACAGCCACTAGGTAGGACAAACAGGCAGAGGACTAGAGAGAATCGAGAAGCTAAAATAAAAAAGACCAGCCTTGTCACCAGCAATCAATAACCCAGATAAGCAGAGATTAATACTAAGATTAAAACTAGAGGAACAATTAAGAAGTAAACAATATCCCAATTAAGAAAATGTCAATAGCAGAGAAACAATCAAACACCCTAAACCAGCAGTCGCCAACTTGTGGCCCACGGCCCACTGGTGGGCCATGAGAAAATTTTGATGGGCCGCAGAGAAATGTCACCCCCCGAGCACCCCCCCAAAGCAATTAATCCAGGCTGTGCAGAAATACAAGACTATGCTGCCCACATGGCCCGCGGGAACCATCCCCGCCCACTCACTCCTTACCTGGCCTGCTAAGTTGCTATTTTTCTCCCCCCACTGACCATCAGCTGTTCTGCTGTGCCGGGAGATTTAGATTAGCTAGGAAGCAGGAAATAGTTGGATTTCTTGCTTTCTAGTTAGTCTTTAGATCTTCGGCTCTACTTTTAAGCACAGCTGAACCTCTCAGGACTAAAGGTTCTATTATTCAGTGCAGACTCACGGCAAGAAAATTTTACGTGACAGACTCAGGTAGCCGATGGCAGATAGATAGATCAATGAATTATTCTGTGAGCAACTCAATCTGCCTGCTGCTTTGCCTGATTTTGGGTAAAAGTTGTTCTTTTTTTATAAAAATATTCAATATTTACATACTTGGTGTGTTGTGAGTTAATTTTGTGAATATGCTTGCTACCAAATTTTATGAGTTTGCTTGCAAGAAAATTTTATGTGATTGACTGAACTAGCTGATCGCAGATAGATAGATCTCTGAATGAATCTGTGATTGTGTGACCAACTCAATCTGCCTTCTTTGCCTGATTTTGGGTAAAAGTTGGCCTTTTTAAATAAAAGTTCAATATTTATATAAATATTTATAATATTTACATACAACCCATGCCCAGCCAGCCACATAACCACCAAGCCACACCCACAAATTAGGCCACACCCACAGAATCAGTTAGCAGTCCCTGGAATTTAAAATTATGAGTTTGGTGGTCCCTGAAGTCCAAAAGGTTGGCAACCCCTGACCTAAACAATCAATCTAATCACTACCAAGAACACACACACAGACAGGACAAGCCACACAAATAGTGAGCAAACCCCACTCCCTTCTAGAACTGATAATGTTATCTAGTTGGGTAATGACACAACTGCAAGAAAACAACCAAGTTCAGAGAGTACTAGGAGCTCCAGTTTGTTTAAGAAAATATATATGGCTGCCCAACTTACTGTCAGTGACTCTGGGCAGCTTACAATAAAAAGCAATAAAAAACCACAACCCTCTTCCTGGCAACAATAATTAGTCAAATAAGCCACTTAATGGGCTTTACCCCACTCTAGCTTCCCTAGAGTGGGGAAGCTTATTAAAACCTGGTCTACAGGACTTGCAAAAGCCTGTCAAAATGGGGGCTAATCTTATCTCCCAGTATGTTCCCTAAGGAGGTAGCCACCACAGAGAAATCCCTGCTCCTTGGTCCTGCTACATGAACCTTAGAAGAGGGAAACCATAGCATTTTTGCCTCCCCGTTCCAATGGATTAGGTAGATGTGACTAGGAAAAGATAAGACTAGGAAAAGATAAGCTCAAGTAAGCCAATATTAAGCCATGTAGGGTTTTAAAGGTGACTTGGAAGTAAATTGGCAGCCAATGCAGCTCTCCCTGGAGAAATGACACAGGTGAGCATCAAGGCTTGCACAAAACATGAAAGATATGCAGGAAGCTGCGTTTTGAACTAATTTAAGCTTCTAGATAGTTTTCAAGGGCAGCCCATGGAAAGCCCACTGCAAGAATGGTAGATAACTAGGGTGTGAATGATTCAAGGGAGTCAAGACAGGAAGGGATTAGGGTATGAGTGACTGTGAAAGGAATTGTTGGTCCAGGAAAGGGCATAACTGGTACACAAAGCACAGTGCATGAAGCCCCCCTTGATGAGTGACCGTGAATAGGAGTCCTGCGTCCAGGAAAACTCCCAGATTATATATTGGATCTGTCTCGGCACTACCACCTCATTCAAAACAAGAGATGGCAATTCTCCATGGACCAACAAAGCTCAGATCCAGAGCCAGGTTCAGCTTCAGTCCATTGTTCCCCATCCATCTCTTAGCAGCCTCCAAGTACTGTGAGAGGGAAGTCACAATATCAATTAACTCATCATGGGTTGAAACAAATAGCTGTCACCAGCATATTTATGTTACCTTAGCCCATGGTGATGGATAATCTGATCAAGCCATTTCATATGGCTGTTAAACAAAGACAGGAAAAGTAGCAAGCCCTGTGGCATTCTGCAAAGTAGGATACAAGGGCTGGACTTCTTGCTTCCTATCAACACTGACAGAGAGCAATCAGCAAAAGGAAATGAACCAGGAAAACATAGACTCCCATTTCCAACCCTTGAAGCCATTCCAGAAGGATACCATGGTTGATAGTACTGAAAGCTGCAGAGACGTCAAGCAGAGCAAGCACTACCGCCATCCTGCTCTCACCAGAAATCATCAAAAAGTGCAAGCTGTGCATTTCCATCCTATGCTAAGCCTGAACCATGACTGGAAAGGGTCTAGAATCTAGATAATCCATTTCATCCAGAAACCTCTGGAGTTGCCACACAATCAATTCAACAACCAATTCAACTCTGAATTACAAATGTTCTCATGAATGAAGGTGAATATACATGTCCTAGGATAATGTTGCAGGATCCAATCTGGGTGAATCACCAGGACCAGAGATTTTGTCTTCCTAGCTTTTAAACTTGTGTTGGTGTACATCTTCAGGGAACTTCTCCAGAGGTGGGCTGCACTTACGTTACCAACTGGTTCACTGGTTGTGAGTGCTCGCAATGCTCTCACGTGCCCCTTTGAGAGTGAAACGAAGCTTCAAACATGCAGTTAATCCACTTAGACAGCTCCGGTGAGTACAGCAGGGGTGGTGCGGAACCCAGCTGGGCAGTGTGGGCGGGGGGGGGGGGGGGGGAATGAGCCAAAAAGTTATATATGGAATGGATAGTGCAGAAGTGGGTGGGCAGGCCCAGCCAGTGAACACAACTGCAGGTTCGCCCAAACCTATGCTACCATGCAGCAGTCCACCGCTGAAGTTCTCTCTACAAATATTCTCTTTTACTGGTACTTCAGTCTTGTTTAGGATGATATTCAGGCTGAAGAGCATAGTAGCAACTGATTAATTTGTTCAGTATCAACTGTAGATCACTGTTTTTGTGTGTCTAAACAAAAGTTATCACCAAAGAGGATTTCTTAAATGACTGTAGGGAGGCACTTTGTCCATATGTTTAATCATCAAAAGTCACAGAATGCTTCCCAATTGGTACTTCCTATGGGTAGCATATGACAATATGAAAGTGAAAAACAGATTGAACAGAACTGGGACTAACATTCAAACTTGTTTTATCCCATTGCAAATGGCAAAAGCACCTGATGTATTCTGTGAATACAGTTGATACAGTAAGTCACTTGGTGAGTGACTTCTTTTTGAAGGCCTTTCTGATTTTGATCCTCACTGATAATTTTAACAGGCTTTAGTTGTAATACTCTACAATTGTGCAAATTAGTGCTACCTGTTCACCTGATCTTTCAACATCCTCAGCTCCAGTTGGAATAGAATACTTTATTGGCCAAGTGTGATTGGACACACAAGGAATCTGTCTTGGTGTAAATGCTGAAAGGCATTATTAATTATTGATGGAACCACAATCTCTGCACGCATGTGTTTGTGAGGCAGGCTTCTCTTCCATCAGATCTATTCCAGATTGGCTAAAATTAACAATGATTTAGCTTGTCAAAACTTTAGGAAGGGTCTATTGGTCCTGGGATGGGAGAAGGAACAGCCACAGGAGCAGGTTTACTCGCCACTGAAATAGAAGTAGGCTTTGATTCTAAATCCAGAGCCTCAATTATCATCACAGCCAATAGCCTCATTTAATCTTCTGGGGTTCAGTTCAAAATTTATTTTTATTCATTTTATACTACAAGAGTTGACCTTTACTCCCAAATAGCTGCTTCTTCAAGAAGAACTTTGTTGCAAGGTTGGCTTGTTTAGTGGAGTCATGAACCACTGACTCCAATGTATTGCGCCTTGAAGGTAACTATGAATTATAAAAAAGTAATGATCTATTATGTGAGTTCTGCTGTTCTACTTAATTTATTAACGCCTTATTTTAAACAATGTACTTCTACTGAGACTTCTGATTGGAAATTAGGTGTGTATATTGTTGATATTTAGGTGATGATAGAAGAAACACCTGCAGCTGATTCCCAGTACTGCTGGTTCATG